CTGCCTTGGCACCCAAAATGGGTTTGTCTGAAAATAGTGTACCCCTAAACCCAATACCTATTAAATGGCTATAATTGGGAATATATATACCCTATTTTCAGACAAACCCAAATGTCAGGAAACATTAGAGTAACAGAGAGGTAAAATCAGAGATGTTGGACTCGTGTAGCTATGATTTATGTCTGGTTGGACAACCCAGTTCGTAGAGCAGCAACACGGGATGGGAAGAAAAACAGCATATCATGTGGGGTTCGAGCAATTGACATCTCGGGAGACATGCAGTAGAAACCAGTCATGATGGCTACGTCTTCGTACTATTCAAACTGTTTAATCATGCTTAATCTACCCCAAATTAGGACGTGACTGATGCAACCAACAAACATTGGTATCTAAAAGGGTAAAATAAATTGGACATCGACCTACCAGTTCCGTTGACTGGGAAGGTTCTGGAAGCAATGATGGGGAATTCCGATCGAGGGGTATGATTGGGTATGAGTTCTTTCAGCCTGGTGACCCAACAAACATCCACAGATCTGACAGAAGAAACTCTGTTGAGATGCTATAATCAAACACAAGGCGACAAGTACTCCACTTCCCAAAAAAAGGACAACCGCAAAACTACGCAAACAACAACAACAACAACAACAACAACAACAACAACAACAACAACAACAACCACCACAACGACAACGACAACGACAACGACAACGACAACGACAGCGACAGCGACAGCGACAGCGACAACGACAGCGACAGCGACAGCGACAGCAGCAGCGACAGCAGCAGCGACAGCGACAGCGACAGCAGCAGCGGCAGCAGCAGCAGCGGCGGCAGCGGCAGCAGCAGCAGCAGCAACAACAACAACAACAACCAACAACAACAACAACAACAACACCAACACCAACACCAAGAACAAGAACAAACAACACCAACGACAACAACAACAACAACCACAACTACAACCACAACCACAACCAATTTCCTTCAGCGCATTTGCAGCAACCCAATTCTTGACATGCTGGGTGCCAAACCCCACCAATCACCAGTGGGCTTGGGCAACTTCGTCCCGAGAATGACGGGCGCTCCCATCTCCGTCAGGCGCTCCCATCTCCGACCAAAAAAATGTCTTTTCGATCCCGAGCCGCTCCATGGTAACAACATTCATGGCATGTTTTGCACAAGTTCCAGAATTTCCAAGTGTCGAAGATCTTCCGAAAGCACTGCTGGACAATTTTGATGAATCATCTTAGATCAAATTTCTACGATACTATAAATTTCAGGGGATGAACTTCGGGATGAACATCCATTTACAAACGGCACTTTAGGGATCACCAGGCTATCAAGGTTTCTACCCTCCGGTAAACTAACATAGCTATTGAAAATGGCCATTTATAGTGGATTTTCCCATTAAAAATGGTGATTTTCCATAGCTATGTGATTTTCCATAGCTATGTTAGTTTACCAGAGGGTATTCATATATATATATATATACCTATACAGTCTACGTGTTTTTGTTTTCCCACATGGCACTTCTCCGATTAGCCGAATGCCGAGACGAAGCAACACTCCTTGGGCACGTGTTGGTGCCCTGGACGTTGAAACATCTTTAAAGCTATGGCCTTGGGCAATTTCCATCATCATGCCATCACATGGGTTAAATAATTGGTAATTGCATCATAGGTGGGAAAAATTGGCAATTTATGATGGCAAATTGATGGAAAAATGCAATACCCTCTGGTAATTTAACATAGCTATTGAAAATGGCAATTGTTTAATGGGAAAATCAACTATTTCAATGGCCATTTTCAATAGCTATGTTAAATTACCAGAGGGTAAAACGATCCACCAAGCCAGAGATGGGGGTTTCCATAATTGGGGGATCCCTGGTTGATGCTGGTTGACTTATCATAGAAAATCCCATCTATTTTTATGGATGATTTGGGGGTACCCCTATTTTAGGAAACCTCCAAATGGATCAGGGTTCAGATAAGGGGGGAGGAGTTGTGCAGATGGTTTTGGTAGATACAGAGTGGAATGCATAGGGTGCACAACTACAAAATGCAAGTGCATGTACTTTTTTTCAGCTACAAAATGAAGAACATAACTCTTTCTGGCTCGGAAAATAATTCAAAACCAGTACTACAAAATCCAATGCATCTGAAGTCAAAAAAATAGCTGAACGTCGGAATTTCTAACATGATTTTTCCCAATGACATTTTGTAGTTGGGTCTTTGCCATCCAAAGTTCCGACCAACATAAATTCGGAGAACATTTTGTAGTTGTCAATGATTGAATTTAGTTGGATCAAGTGTTGACCCCGTGCAGTTTGTTAGATGGCATTCTGTAGCTTCATGATCTGTTTGTTGGATGCTTCAACTATTCAACTTGTACAACTACAAAATGCTAATGAAATTTTATGTTGGATGCTTCAACTAACTCAACATATACAACTACAAAATGAAAATGCATGATTTGAAAGGAATCAACTACAAAATGATTCCAAATACAAAATGGGGGGGCCGGGCACAACCCCTCATGTTTGTACAAAAAAATGCTGGCTGGCAATCTGTACTGTAGCCCAAGTCCTCCCCATTTCGTAGCTGAAATTTGAAGGTGGATCCAAATGGTTCTATGTTGTCACCAACCTTTCGTAGCCTCCAGTGAATACTGCAAACTAAAAGATCCATTGGCAACTCCCCATGTTCCATGATATCGAGGATTTTGCAGCCATGTTAGATTCCTGGAGAGTAGATTACTCTCTGGTAAATTCAACACGGCGAGCTGGAAAATCTCAAAAGATTTCCTGGTTGGTGGTTTCTTTATCCCTCTGAAAAATATGAAAGTCAGTTGGGATGATGAAATTCCCAATATATGGAAAGTCATAAAATTATATAAAATTCATGTTCCAAACCACCAATCAGATATTCTTTAATGATGGAAAATGGGAACCATCATGATCGTCATCTCGCTGTGGCTCTTCAAGGAAGCCAGGTGAACAAATGCTGGAGAGCTACAGACTTGCCACGGTGGATTAGTGATACTGACGATGGTCGTTGTAGCTGGGTAAAGAAATCCATGAAAGTTAGTCAGTTCCTTTAGCCAGTTACTACCCACTTCTCACGAATCCATACTAACCCATATGCAACCCATGGTGCTGGAGTATGTACCAACATTTGCCCTTGTCCAACATCACCCAGTCATGTAGGTGTGCATATACCAGCACCAATTGGGCGGGTTTTCAGAACGGGATTTCCCCATTCCGATCGTCCCCAAAGATGAAGGCTTCACGGGATAAGGCCATAAACCAACCATGACTGGGAATGATCATACCACCAACATTGAAATTAGGTGAAATTGAAAAATTCGGGGATGGTTTATTATTCTATAATCCCTACATCAACAACCAACCCGGGGTTGTCTTGCACTCATCATTTTTCCAAGTGGCGGCAATGTCACAGTCTCGCTCTTCGCATCCTCATCGGACTCGTCAGCCATGGCGGCTACGACATTGCCATGGTCATTTTGGGGCTGTTGGTGTCACGAAGTTTTAGCAATTGAAGTGTCAGTCAATCATCAAAATAATCATATAGTAATACTTGAAATCTCCGTCCAACTATGATATTATGATGTGTAAAGACAAAGGATTGCAAAGGTATGTAAAGAATTGTAAGTACAAAAAAAATCCTGTCTGTTGTTTTGCAAGTCGTGCATCTGCTTGTAGATGAATACTTCTTCTTTAAACCATCTCCGAGCATCGCGGAAATGGAGTCAGTTGGATGAGACATGACTACGAAACTCACCAGTCTTGGAAGCATTTTCCATACTTGATCCCAAACGAGCAATCGACTCATCGCACAAACATGTTTCCCCTGCTTTGCCTCACAAAAGCGATAAGTTACGCATGACAAATACCCATAGAATACATAACCATCTAAAACTGCTGACTTCTGTTGTGACTGTTCACATAGCCACTTTCATTGGTCGCACAAAGAGTTTGGCCTGAACATTGGGGTAACGATGGAACCACAAACAACTGATGGCTACTCTATGGTTATTTAAAATAGCTATCGGAAATGACCCATTTAGGTCAGTGATGTATGATGATGTTCCCATAAAACATGGTGATTTTCCAGTTCGTAAACGGTTAAATAACCAGAGAGTAGAGTTCATCTTGCTGAACTTCCACGTCTGGAATCCCAAAGTCCGGATCGAAAAAAACATGTTCTTTTGGAGATGGCACTCCCACAAAAAAATGATGTTGGATATCTGGGACCCTATGGATCCAAACTCAAAAACTACAACACTTCACCCCCCAAATCAGCTCAAATCATACCCCAAACACTTTCACATAGAGTACTTGGATCCATAGGGTTAGATGGGTTAGATAACCCTGCAAGAAACAATACACCATTTGGTGTTTCCAAAGTGCCATCCACCATTCACCAGTTTGCCCATCAATCAAATCAAAGTTGATCCACATTTTGTTTTGCCTTTCCATTGAACAAAATTGAACATTCATTATGCCAACCATTTACCCTCTAGTTATTTAACATAGCCATGGAAAATCACCATGTCTAATAGGGAAACCAGCTATAAATGGACCATTTTCCATGGCTATGTTAGTCATAACCAGAGGGTTTTTTTGTGTTGTCCCCTTTGCATCCTGGAAATCACCAGGAAAACTCCGAAAATCATCCTACGGTCCATCACTATTGTTTGCTGGTTGAGCTCACCATTCACCAACAAAAAGACTCAAACAAATGGTGGTTATAATACAAATAATAATGCTTATATATGGGTTATATCATGGGATATATGGATTCATATCTGGTTGGTGGTTGACCTACCCCTCTGAAAAATATGAGTTAGTGAAAGTCAGTTGGGATTATTCAATTCCCAACTGAATGGAAAGTCATAAAATTGATGTTCCAAACCACCAACCAGATATCAAAATACACAACAACCATATCAAACAAATCATCCACCTCATAGATCGGCACCTCAGAGGCTTCGAGGAAGAAGTCCACGCCACCCTTGGGTGCTCCAGGGGCAGCCTGCGCAGTCAAGTTATGTCAGATTTAGATGACAAAAATTGTGATTCATGGGAGAAACACATATTGTAAAAAAATGTATATTGATGGTATATAAGAATGATTCATGGGATGATGATGGAATATACTTTTTAAAATGGATATATAGTGTGTATATATATAATGTGTATATATTGTATTTGTATGTACATATATATATATATATATATGTATATATAGTATGGGCATATCATGGCAAATATCATAGGGGATTAAGTGTACTCATGTATATATTTGAAGCTTCAGAAGTTTAACCAACGAAAATCATACCCTCTGGTAACGTGGCAGGCTGGGAAATACGCGAACTCAATGGAAGTTTGTAGCAACGCGGGTTTGATTTCTGGTCATGGGCATATCATACAATGGCTCTATAAATATATATATATATAATGGGAGATAAAAAAGGGATTTACAAAATGGGATAGGACAATATCCTCTTAGTTCAATATTTCTTGCCATACACTAATCTTAGAGAAAGTTAATCGATATCATCGTTAGACAGTCCACTTTTGTGAACTATGGACGTGTGTTCTTAGATAAACCCAACAGTATGACATGGGTGAGTTGGATTCCATGAACTTGCTGGTCATCCCACGGGAATGGAGTCATGACCATTCCCCATTTTTTGTGCAATTTCACCAAAGCTTTGTCATCCTACCATAGTTGGAATTCCGTATTTTTAAACAACAAACAACACTATATATAATATTATATAATTCCCAATTGATTGGTGCATGACCATCCATTTTATTGGGAAAATAAAACATGGTTTGACGATGGCACATATGGACATAAAATGCCTTGCTTTGAGAATCATTAAACCCTGGTTTGTCAGGGTTACTCCAAAGACCCCAGGTACAAGGGCGGGGTAAATTAGATTAGGCTTAAAGAGGTAGAATGACTACAATGGATTGGAGCAAGTCTGTTTGTGAGTCCCCAAAGTGGCTTATACCAACAGTTGTGATTTGCTCCTGGTTTTGCTGGTTGATGGTTCATTGTTTATCACTGACCCCATCTTTCACACTCGCAGCTTGTTGAATCATTGAACCATGATACCATTGTTTTAGGAGAAATCCATGCTACCCACGCTGGCGGCATTGCCACCAATCCGCACCTCAATTCTGGCTTTGTACCTGTGGCACAGGGTGGACATATCGCCTGTTTAAGGAACAAACACGGATCATTTTGGGTGATCTTGTACAAGTAAATCTGCAAAATCGTGGGACCCCTGTCACAACAATCGGGTGCACCATTTCCTTGTGTTTATGTTTTTTTTTGACAAAACAATCATGATTTCTTCCTGACATGCCGAGGGTCCTGCATTGTGCCCCTTTGATCGCTTCTATTGCGTGGTTTCGTTCTCCATCTTTTGCTGGCAAACTGCCCCTTTTTGCTTGACTCAAGTGGAATATACCCCATTTTCAGACATATCCAAGTCTCATTTCTGCTTGTTGCCCTCCCCTTTTTCTCCACCTTTCCAGCTGGCTCAAGCTCACCGCCGAACCAGATCAAAGGCTGCCCTTTCCCCAGGGATTCGCCAGTCATCTGGTTGGTGATCTGGTTCACCTCTGAAACAAAATATACAAGTGAACTACCCATCCAGTTGGACATGTTCGAAAAAAAAAAACACTTAAGAAGAAACAAACACTATTTAAGAAACTACCATGAAAAACGAATTATGTAAAACCCATGGAAAAAAAAAAAACAACATCTTTCAACACACCAAGGACCAAGCAAGTTCCGAGGTTTCCAGGGAGCACTTCACCATTTCCTTGGCATAGTGTAGGAACTTGAAGCTCTCCACTGTGGAGCCTCCCAGCCTTGGATACAGAATCCAAAAAAGCTAAGAAACACAGGTTCCGCTGGGTTTCCATAAATGAAGACACCCCAAAATGGATGGTTTACAGAGTTTACAATGGAAAATCCCATCTATAATTTAAATCGTACAATGGAAAATTCCATCTATTCTATTTTTTTTGGATGATTTGAGGGTAGCCACATTTTAGAAAAACCCCACGCATGGATGGCTATGAGTCAAAAACATGGTACCCAAACGGTACACTAAAATAGCTGGTTCATGGATGCGCACTGCCATCCCCATAGAATATGGCAATGTCATCGCTATGACCCATCCCTATATGGCAATATATACAACATGTGTCAACAATGGGAAGTTGATATTTATCATCCATACCCCCTGGTAAACATACAAAAAGCGAACTGGCAAATCACTATTTAAGAAGAGGTCAATCAACTATTTCTATGGTCCATTGGTCCATTTTCTATAGCTTTTTCTATGTTTACCAGAGGGTAGCTGTTGCTTGTGGACTGATGTTCATCCATCCTACGGTTCAATGGCTTTTGATCAAACCCCAAATTTCTATCACCCAACGAACAGAGACAATCCACCATTTGTAGATTCTGAAACCGGAAACATATGAGCAATCTCGGAAACTCTAGGTTCACTTTAAGGACATTCACTCATGGATGTTCCACCGCGTTTTGTTAGTTTACGTAATAATTTACTGGAGTGCGTGTCTGATAGATCGTGAACCGTGGATGTAAAGTGGATCTCATGACACCATGATGCAGCAAACTATGAACTAATGAGCTGATCGTAAACTAAATTCATGGAGACAATGATTTTGTCGATTTTATCAATTTACATCAGAGTGTTTGATTTACAGGAATTATTTACACTATTGCTTACTATTGTCACTTTTATTACTGTTATTGTTATTACTACTATATGTTTCATGTAACTATCCATATGGGAAATTAATCCCTTCCCCCTATTACTAAAGCCCCCCGAATAATAAAAACTAGGGACCGTCTCCAATGTTGGAAAATTCGGGGTTGGCCAATGTGATTTTTAAATGATCCCCTTTAGAAAACAGTTTAAAAATGAAGCTACCATTTCAGGGTTTCACCCCCTAATAATAAAAAATAGTCAACCCCGGGGTGTTTTTTATTAGGGTCCGTCTTCTAAGGTCGCAAAAAAACAAGTATTTATATTGAGGTTTTTAATTTAATACTAGTATTAGAGGAAAGCTTCGAAATCCAATGTTTGGCAATATTTTAATTAGATCTTAAAATGAAATCAAATCAATTTTGAAATAGGAAAAATAGCTTTATATATTATTGTAGGGTTTTTAATTTAGTATTAGGGGAAAGCTTCGAAATCCAATTTTTGGCAACATTTTACTTAGATTTTAAAAGGACATCTAATCGATTTTGAAACAGTTTTTTTTATTATTAGGGTCTTAAATTGGGGGGAAGCTTCGAAATTCAATATGTGGCAATATTTTAATTAGATTTCAAAAGGAAACCTAATCGATTTTGAAACAGAAAAACATGTTTTAGGGTTTTTAATTTAGTTTTAGGGGGAAGCTTCGCAGCTTAATAATAAATACACCCTAATAATAAAAACCACCGGAGGTGTTTATTATTTGGGTGTGGGGGGTGGGGGGTTTTGTATTAGGGGGAAGGGATTAGTTCTGACGTAGCTATCCAGACAAGAACATCAGCTTTTATGTAACTATCCAGTATAATTGTATATATATATATTTATAATTATAATCATCCATTAGCTATCCACTACCTCAATTTTCAGATAGAAATGGTTTCCGCTATATCCACTGACTATCCCATATGCGAACCATGGTCCTGGTATAATTGGTATATGCACACCTACATGACTGGCTGATTTTGGACAAGGGCAAATGTTGGTGAATATTCCAGCACTCTACCCTGGGACCACCTCGACCTCGACTCTGAGACCCCCCACGGCGCTTTGAGGACCAAGGCCCGTTCGAAGCCCTGAGAGTTCTGTGGCATGGGGTTATCTAAATGGTCATTGAATGGGACTTCACCAGGGAAAATGATAGGTTGGTGGTTTGAACCCCTCTGAAAAATATTAGTAACATGGGATTATTGTTCCCAATATATGGAAAGTCATAAAAATTCATGGTTCCAAACCACCAACCAAAATGATGATTTGTCATGGGATTTCACCCTTATTTCACCCAGGAACATGCATATATTATTTAGCAATGAGGATTTGACCAACACAAATAACCAACCAAACATGCTGGTATAAGGGGTATATCAAATGGGTTTTTTGATGAGGAGCATTGGAAACTAATTAGGCTAGAATGGAATTTATAAACCAATACAATGGGGATACTGATTGATGAACGGTGGGTTTTTATTTTAAATGGGTTCCACAAGTCGATTTTGAAAGTTGAACCTGGGGAATATCTACTCCGGGATGCTTATGTTGTATGTACAACGTTCCGTGATGCAGTGGGCAAACAAAGGCAGCACACAATTTAGAGATTGGTGAATCAACATTTAAATCAGCTCTAATATATATATATATATATAAACTATCAAACAAAATGGTATTACTATCTGCTATATAACACTATATATATATATATATCAACACATAAATCTGCATTCAAAAAAAAAATCCATCCAGATACTCCCCACATCTCCATCTCCCCCCAACAACTCGAGGCTCCACACGGCTGGGCTGGCGCGCCAATTCACCGTGTAGGGATAGGTGCCAAGCTCTGGACTCTTTAAGGTGACCTGGAACCACCGGAACCACCATCCATCTGGGGCAAACGATCATCATTTATACCATTTACCCTCTGGTAAACTAACATAGCTATGGAAAACCACCATTTTTAATGGGAAAACTCACTATAAATGGCCATTTTCAATAGCTATGTTAAATTACCAGAGGGTAATGCAGGCTTTTTTAACCTATCAATGGATGGTCAATTGGGAAAATGATATATACAAAATCCTATCATTCACCTACCAATGGATAGTATCATCATGGATCATATAGCTTTATGGTGATTCATGGTGATTGGTCATAGCATATCATAGCTATGGTCAATCTGGGTCAATCTGGGTCAATCACTATAATGACTATCATGCAGGAAAGCTATCATCATTCACCATCCCATCCATTGATTCACCTATCAGTGGATGGTCAATTGGGACAATTCTCCCATTGGGAGGTGATCGAGGCTTGGACGTTTCCGTTTTGTGGGTTCCATGGTTCACCCATGGTGACGACTGGGGATCCCCCATGACTTAAGAACCACCCGTTTATTGGATATTCATGGAATTACTGATGGTATATTTCGTAAAGCAATGGTGTTTACCATCCTCATATATCTGGGTAAAACATCTATAACATGGTGGATTTAATGGAATATTTAAATCATTGAAATATTTATGGAATATCTATCCCCAACTCTACCATGTTTATGTGCGGTATCAACCATCAAAATATTCAAAATATGGCTAGCTGACTATTGCTCTACTCACATTACATATATTACATGGGGATTTGAATGATAAGTCTAGCCAACTTGGGGATATTTAGATACCCTCTGGTAATTTAACATAGCTATTGAAAATGGCCATTTATAGTGAGTTTTCCCATCAAAAATGGTGATTTTCCATAATTATGTTAGTTTACCAGAGGGTAGGATTTAGATAGGACTGTAACCAACAGCAACCGGATTTTTGGGGATGACATTTTGGGGATTCCCTGAATCCGAACTTCCAGGGATCACAGGGAGGTCGTTGAAAAACGGGTGTTTTTTCTGCCTCTTCCAGGCCTTGTTTCATGGCACATCTTGGATTCCTGCGAACCAAATTCATTTCAGTGAAGCTGAGTAGATTATTTTCGGATATTCTGTTTTCGGCCATTCTGTTTTCGAAAGATGAATCATCATGCTAGCTCTTGTTGCTCAAGACCCGTGTTGACATCTGCGGGAGTATTAGGATCGTCTCGTATTTACCCAATGATACTGGCTATATTCTCTATGCTTGCTTGATGTTGATTGATGCTGATTGAACTTCAAAAAACTGTGGGACTGTGGGTAAACTGGTAAGCCCCTTGTTGATGACTATATTCACCCGTGAATCCCAACTTCTTGTTGCTTCTGTGGTTTTTCAAATGTTGGTTAGATCCCCAGTTTCATCGCTTAGATCCCAAAAAAATGGTTGTCGAACTTCAAACAGCAAATTCCCAAGTCCTACCCTTCAATTCCCCCCGTTTTCCCAGGGTCTACCAGCATTTTCATGGCATTAAACTCATTAAACCATAAAATCATTGGTTAACGATGCTTAGATCATGTTAAATCATGTCAAATCTTCAGTTTACTGCTGAACATCCATTGCATCCTCCATCTTTGAGGGATGAACTTCCAGTGTTGTGACACAGGGGCCATCCACCAGATCCACCCAACAGGTATCGCCTCGGCATCGCCTTCGCCTTCTTCCAAGGGCCTGCCATCCATAGGATTTAGATGGGATAGATTGATGGGAAACACTAATCTGTAAATGGTGGATTTGTTTAGTGGAATTTTAATGGGATATTTGATATTTATGTATTAATTATATAATTGGAATGTTTTTGGGATACTTATGGACTATTTATGGAGGTCGACTGAGGATATATCACCACCAAATGGTCATTTTATGGGATACTGTATATACATTTACATGCACACACACACATTTTACGTACACATATTGTGAAACATCCTCAGTTTATCCATCTCCTGTCAGGTGCCGGTAGGACATGCCCAGGACCAATTTCATATCATGCTGCTGCATGTCCATCAAGGGGTGGGCAGTGGCGTGGACTTGTGAGCCATAGTGGTGTGAAAGCAGAGGTGCTGCTTGGGGCTGCGGTGGGCGAGTCAGCCAATTCAAATTGGCAGCGGAGTTGCCTGGTTGGTGGAAAGGTTGAGGCGACCAAGGACGACGTGATCTAGGTTGAAGGTGTCTTTTACCTGGTGAGGACACTGGGTAGGGTGCTAGGGAGCATCCGTGATGGCAGAGGGCTTGGCCCAAGCTTCAGGCGATGAGAAGGGGACAAACTTATGGAGCCTCCTTCCATCGTTTGATCCGAGCTTGGACAACGCCAAGGAGTATGCGGACAAGGTTCGATTCCTATGGGGAATCTGTCCAACGAAGGACAAGACGATGCTGGCGCCACGCCTTGCACTTTTGTGCAAAGGCACGGCCTGGAGCCAGGTGAAAAGTTTAGCATCGGAGAAGCTGACCGACCCTGACAATGGGTACAAGATGCTGCTCAAGGCACTAGAAACCTGGGAGGAGTCAGCTGAGTTGCAAACTTACGGGGCCTTTGAAAGGGCTTTTTACAAGACCGTCCAGAAGCCAGATGAGACGGCAGTCTCCTTTGTGAACAGGATCAACGTGGCCTTTCAGGAGGTTGGATCTGAGACGACGGTGCAAACGGTGAAAGCATTCGTCATTCTCAGGCAGAGTGGACTCAATGCAGAGGACAAGAAGCGCATCATCTCAATGGCAGGCAACTACGACCCGTCCAAGATCGAGGCAGCGATGCGAGCCCTGTCAACAAAAGTACTTGGTCAAAGTGATGGTGCCAGAAAGAAGATCTACCCAGTCAACTACATGGAGGATGATGCGGATGAGATCAACTATGCAGGTGAAGAGGAGATGGACGAGGACTCAATTCTGATGGCCCTCCTGGAAGAGGGTGATGAAAGCGCTCTTGTCATCCAGGAGTTCGAGGACAGCATAGTGCAGGTGTGCCAGGACTCGCCTGAGCTCTCGATGGCCTTTTCGGCTTACCAAGAAGCCAGGGCCAAAATCAGAGACAAAGTCCGTGGACGTGGATTCTGGCCCATTCGAAGCTTTCCCAAAGGAAAGGGGAAAACCAAAAAGGGCAAGAACTTCTTCAAGAAGCGACAGAGCCTCTCCGAGAGGATTGCTTCCTCCAACTGCAGGATCTGCGGAGTTCGAGGTCATTGGAAAGAAGAATGTCCTCAAAAGGATCGACAAGGTGGTGCGGAAGCCAACATGCTTACGACGGTGGAGGAGCAGCTGATTGGTGAGATCTTAGAGGACCTCCCGCTGGACAACATGACCACTTGGGAGGCACGGCAACAGGGACATACCCACATCCACCCAGGGGTACCACCTGTGTATTCCAATGTTAATGATGAATTCGTTTGTATGGTTGTCCCAGGAACTTCCAAAGTTTTGCATGTGAACAATACTCCAAATGAGAAATCTCGACTTCGAAGTGTTTTGAAACGGGCTTTAGAAACTAGCTTTGGTGTCGTCAGGTCACGGAAAAATGAAACTGAGAGTAGTGCAGATCTAGGGCCTTCAGGAACTGGAATCATCGACACAGGAGCTAGCAAGTCCGTCATTGGTGAAAAGCGTGTGAGCGATCTCCTTGCCACCCTCAAACATGAACATCGGAGCTGAGTGAAATGGCAAAGGTCGGAAACGGTGTTTCGGTTTGGTAACAATGGTACCTTGAAAAGTTTGGGGGCTCTCTACATTCCATTTGGGTCCAAATGGCTCCGAATTGAAGTAGTGCAAGGATGGACTCCTTTCCTCATTTCAAATGCCTTTTTGAGTGCGGTAGGTGCAGATTTGCTGATCAGTCATTCAGTTTTGCGTGTGTCCGCATGGGACAAAGATGTCCGCTTGTGTAGGAACTCAAAGGGTCTTTTCACGATCAAACTGACTGAATTGATTGAGGCAGCATGCAAATTCGATCAAAGGCCTAAAACTGAGGAAGTGATCACCATGGCAAGTAGTTCAAATAACATACCTAATCGAAGTAAGGGGGTTTATTGCACACAGCAGCAGCAGCAGCCGTGGTCAAATGAGATGGATGATGTCAACGGCATGCCAGCAGCTAAAGTGGCTCAATCTCAACTCAACAGTGACAACGTGATCTCGTCAGACGCCCCTGAAGGTGACGTTCCTGTGAATCATGGCGTTCATGCCGGAGAAGAGCAGCAGCAACAATGTCGAGTCCCAGGTGATGGCGGGCTATGCCAACAATCTGGACGTGAATCTGGATGTTCCATTGACGGGACCAGTCGATCCAGGTTTGAACTTCAGCCAGCCGCCAATCATCAGGAGCTCCCGTCCAGAAGGGATCTCAACACTTCGGGAGTGGGGCGACATGAAGTTCCCGGAAGGCAAGTGGAAGAATGCCACCTTTGCCGACGTCTTTCGCCAGGACCAGAAGTACGTGCACTTCATGGCCAACCACACCAAGCTGGTGTCCCCATGGGCACTGAGCTTCAAGAGCTATGTCAGTGCCCGGCTGAAAGCTCAGATCGAGCACGAAGAGCTGAAGAAGAAGATGGTGGTGGAAATGGAGAAGAAGGTGCGCGAGGTGCTGATGACCGGCTCGTGGGGAACGTCCCTTCCAAGCAATGTGGATTGGGAGGTGATCTCACAGACGGTGCAGTCTGGCGGAGCCAGTCCACCGATCCATCGAGCCAAGAGGTCCATGGAGGACGAGATCGATGGCAACCAGATGAAGCCAGAATATGCCCCGGAGAACAAGATCGACAAGATCACCCGAATGGCTCTTCTTCAGCGAGAGCTGGATCGTCTGAGGGAGGAAGTAGATCAGTAGAGAAATCCAATGTGTCGGAGATCAAGGCATTGAAGCTTGAAACAGCCAGCGTTGATTCCATTTGTCAACAATTGGAATATGCACAAGTGTCAATTGAAAAGGATCTGGCCAAGCTTCAAGCAACATGGACAAGACCATCAACAATCAAGGCCGAGAAACCATCCTGGGGTCTGGATCTCTTGGAAATCTACTGTGAACCAGACTCACAATTGACCGAACAAGCTCGAAGACTTGGTTTAAGAGCCGAGAGATTCACAATCCACGATGGTGACCTATCAACGACTGCGGGTCGAGAAGCTTTGTGGAAGAAGATCATGGAGAAGTGTCCCCGTGAAATTTGGATGGCACCAGAATGCAAGTACTGGGGCAATTTCAGCAGGAGAAATATGGGTCGCAGCATCAGCACAGCAGCCAAAATACAAGCAGGTAGGGATAGTCAAAGGGTTCATCTCAAATTGTGTAATGAGGTTTATTGGCATCAAATGAGCGTAGGCGGCCAATTTCATCTTGAGCAACCCCAGGGATCTGAAGCAATTGACCAACCAGAGTTGCGGGATGTCAAGGAGGGAACCCTTTGTACTACCTTTGACATGTGTGAAGTAGGTAAACTACTTGCCCCTAGGATCCAAAGGAAGATAAGTGGAAATAATTTTATGAGAAAAAGAACCACTGTCTTCACTTCCTCCAAAGTCTTCCACAAAGCCTTTGACCATCGCTTGTGTGTTGGAAACCACGAGCACGTTCCGATTGAAGGCAAAGTCCTCCATCTAGGAAGATGGATATCTCTATCGGAGTATGCCGCTCGCTACTCTTCCGGTTTTGGTAGGAATGTGGCCCGATATCTGGCATGTCAGTGTTGGAATCCACCACTTTTATGGGAGGAGTTGAGTGTGGGTCATGAAGATGTGGAATTTGTAGCAGCGGTCATTAACCGAAAAAGAGAACATATAAGCATGGATGCCCCGGCTGGGCCTGAGTCAGATGCCAAGCGGCTGCGCTACAATGGCAAGTGTCCCCCTCGTGGAAGCCATGGATGCGCTGGTGGAGAATTCTGGGATAATGTTTTTAGACGTGTTGAGTCGCAAGTCCCAAGGGTTGGAAAAAGGGTGTTTGTTGGTGGTGATGATTTTGATGAAATCCAAAGGGGTGTTTTTGGTTTTAAGGTTCGTCGTGTTGAAGCTTGTAGGGGAACAGAACGTTTGAGAATCCCAGCAAATGACATCAGCCAGGCTTTCATACCGCTCAGACTCACGGTTATCAAAGACCGTGCTTCCGGCAAGGCAGAAGTGTTAGGACCAGCTGAGCGATGGGTGAATCTACCCAAAAACAAGCAAATCCGGAGGGGAAGACCAGCCAAGATGAGCCTAACCATTTTTGGGGAAGAGTTGCAAAAGAATGAGATAGTACGTCATGGAAATGAAGATAATCATGAACTATCTGATATTGACCGGGAAATGTTTGGTGACCCTCCAAATGGTCCTCCTAAAAATCCTGGGGTAGGAAATGGGGACAATAACCCTGAAGGAGATGTTGGGGGAGACGTGGTTAGTGATTTGGTTGGTGAAGGGGTTCCCAAAAGTATTGCGCGACATGGCCCTGGGTTTTTGAACTTAACTGGGGAGGAGAAGGCTCAAATTCGACGTCTGCACCATAATTTGGGACATCCCACAGCAGAGCGACTGGCCAAGTTTATGAAAGAACGACATGCGGAGCATCGCATAATTCAAGGCGTCTTGGATTTCCAGTGTGATAGCTGCTCTGAAGGAAAGAAGGGATTTGACTCTGCACGACCGGCTGCCATACATGATGATCTAGGTTTCAATCAGGTTGTTGGCATGGACTCAGCTGTTTGGACAAATCATAGGGGTCGTCAGTTCACTTTTTCTCATGTGATTGATGAAGGGACTCTGTTTCATTTGGGGGCACCGGTAGAAAGTGTGGATGTAGAATCTCAACTCAGAGTTTTTCAACAAGTTTGGATGCTGTGGGCTGGACCACCGCAAACTGTGTATGTCGATCCTGCGAGCGAATACCGTGCTGAGAAGTGGCAAGATAGCATGCAAGCGCTGGATGTACATATAAAAATGACAGTTGGTGATGCCCACTGGCAACTCGGACGGGTTGAGATCCATGGAGCCATAATCAAAAAGATGCTGGATCGCATGGATTTGGAGCAACCGATTAACACAGCAGCAGAGTTTGCGGCTGCCCTTATCCAATCTTTCAATGCCAAAAACACCCTTTCTAGGGTAAAGGGTTACTCTCCAGAACAAGCTGTCCTTGGGATTGCTAGAAAACTTCCTGGATCATTAACCTCCAATTCGGATGCTGGAAGCCTATCCTTAGCCGAAGGCCAGGGAGTGGCATCTGATGTCTTTAGAGCTGGACTCGAACTTCGAGCATCAGCCCGTCGGGCATTCATTGATGCAGACAACTCTTCAAGTCTGCGCAGAGCGCTGTTGCGTCGGAGCCGTCCACTGAGGGGTCCATTTGAAATTGGGGATCTTGTGTTGTATTGGAGGAGAAAGGGTCCAAACATGAGAAGAGAGAGGGGTCGTTGGTTTGGTCCTGCTAGTGTGGTAGCTGTTGAGGGTTCCAGAAACGTTTGGCTCAACCACAGTGGACGTCTGGTTCGTGCCTGTCCAGAGCAGATCCGTCCAGCCAGCTTCCGTGAATGGAGGACTCTCCAAACGCAGAGATCGGTGGCCATGGAAGAAAACTCTCCAGGTCGGTTCTCCCAGAACTTAAGGGGTGGGGTGTTTATTGATTTGAGTAATGATGGGATCCCTGAAAATGAGGATGATGGTGAGTATAGTCCCTCCGAACTTGAACCTGAAGTAGAGACATCCATCAAATCCCCTGAAGAGACCGAACCAGGAGAAATTGATTTAGAAAAACCATGTGAGCCACATGAAGTTCCAGTTCCTGACACACCTTTTGAATCTGAAGGGGAAATGTCAAGCAATGAAGTACCCGAGAATGCAACTGGGGAGGGGGAGCCAATTTTGTTTGGGGATGATGTAGAGTTTGGGAAGCCTCCCCCACAAAGTTTTGATGTTTGGGAAATGTCAATTCCTCTTGAACAAAAACAGGAAGTCAGGATGTTTTGTTCAAACTCTGCGGATGAGAGCGTGCTGTTAGTTTCCGACTCCAAGAAAAGAAAGGTAGAAGTCAAACTGAGCAATCTGAAAAGTGAGGATCAGTTTAGGATGGCTGTTGCCAAGCACAAAGAAATTGGGGCTTGGCTGAAACACTCCACAGTGCGCAAAGTCTCAAAAGGGAAAATCCCTGAATCAGCAATCATGCGATGCCGATGGATTTTGTCTTGGAAACCAGCAGGTCCGTCCGACAATCCAGCTGATGTCAGCAATGGCCAAAAAGGAATAGCCAGGCTGGTTGTTGTTGGGTTTGAGGATCCTGGAGTTGGAGTCATTAAAAATGACTCACCGACCCTGAGCAAGGATGCCAGACAAACCATCGTACAGCAGGTAAGCAGCTTCAAGTGGGATCTTGTGTCTTTTGACATATCTACGGCATTCTTGCATGGGGAAGGGGATGGTAGATTGTTGGGCATTTACCCTCCACCAGAACTTCAAGAGTCACTTGGCATGCAAGAGACCGATCAGTGTGAACTAGTTGGGGGTGCGTATGGCCGAGTAGATGCACCCTATCTTTGGTTTTGCAAGTTTAGGGACACCCTAATCAGTGAGGGGTATCGACAGTGCCCCCTTGATCCTTGCTGTTTTACCCTGGCGTCAAAGAATGAGAAAGGTCACTTGCAGATCCATGGAACACTGGGTATCCACGTTGATGATGGGATTGGTGGAGGTGACAAAGTCTTCCTCGAATCCTTGGAGAGAATCCGACAAAAATTCAGCTTTGGCAGTTTCGAAAAGGGGTGCTTCACCTTTACGGGGATCAGGTACAAACAATGGGACGATAAGAGCATTGAATATGATCAGATCGACTATATCGAGAAGATAGCCCCCATTGAAATTCCCAAGGGTAGAAGGAACCAGCCTCTGAGTAGACTTACTGAACATGAGACAACCCAGTTAAGAAGTCTGGTAGGCGCCCTTCAATATGCTGCTGTACATACAAGACCGGATTTGTGTGCAAAAGTTGGAGAGATCCAGTCTTGTGTTCCTCGGGCCACTGTGGGTGACATGGTCAGTGCAAACAAAGTTTTGTATGAAGCCAAGAGCAACAAGGTCTCGCTGATGACCGTTCCAATTGCACCGGACCAGCTCACATACTGTGCCTTTTCAGATGCCTCGTTTCTTTCAGGGAAGGAAAAGTTTGCCCACCAGGGAGGCCTGATTTTTGCAACGACTCCTGAGCTTTTGGAAAATAAGAAATCTGTGATGGCCCCGGTGGCGTGGATCAGCAAAAAGATCCATCGGGTCACTCGGAGCACCCTTGGTGCAGAAGCAATTGCACTCAGTGGTACAGTAGATAGGCTACTATGGGTCCGATTAATGTGGGAATGGGTAAATAATCCAACTATTGAATGGGGTAACCCCGAAGCTGTGTTGGAGAATGCTAGGAGGGCTGCATTGGTCACGGATTGCAAGAGCGCGTACGATCTCCTTACCCGTACAGCCATTCCCCAATGCGAAGAACATCGAACCACCATAGAATGCCTCTTAATTCGAGAACGGCTTAAAGCCAACTGTGCCATTCGATGGGTGACGTCCCATGCTCAATTGGCCGATTGCTTGACAAAAAGTATGGACTCATCAGTGTTGCGGGAATGCCTCAAAAGTGGTAGATATTCGTTGTTTGATGAGAACAGGGTTCTTCAGGAGCGTTCCGACAAAAAGCAAAGAGCCAAGTGGGCGAAAGAGGCCACCTCAGACTCTGGAACCAGTGTAGCAAATCATACGTCAGTTTTGGAAGATTCCTGGAAATTAAACAAACATGGCCAGGTTGTCCGAACTCACCATGTTCCTCGTTGGAAACGTTTTTCTCCTATAGGGGTTCCTGGATGCCCAGTTGACATCCGCAATCTTGGGGTGGAGAGGACCACTTTTGCCAGATTTGAATCTGGAGAAACGTGGAATGAGAAGGACTTTTGGCCTGGTACGCGGGGTCATGCTTCACTACCAGCACTTTGGACAGGAAAAACAACATTTGAAGTACGGGGTGTGTGAAACATCCGCAGTTTATCCATCTCCTGTCAGGTGCCGGTAGGACATGCCCAGGACCAATTTCATATCATGCTGCTGCATGTCCATCAAGGGGTGGGCAGTGGCGTGGACTTGTGAGCCATAGTGGTGTGAAAGCAGAGGTGCTGCTTGGGGCTGCGGTGGGCGAGTCAGCCAATTCAAAACATATATATATATATATTATATATATATATATACATATAATATATAATTATTATATAATATTATATATATATATAGCCAACAAGGTGGTGCCCCAGTTTGTGAACGCTAAGTTGGTGCAAATAACTCCAACAACTGAAACTGTTGGGTCTATGGTGGATATATATCGAACTAGTCACCACGGTTTAAAAACCAACTTCGCTAACGAACTGGGGAACCACCTAGTAGGATCTAGATGGGATATTTATTGGAATATTTCTGGGATACTTGTGGACTATTTATGGCATATTTAGAATTTGGATATTACATGATTAATGGATACTAGTAGTTGGCGTGTGTAAAACAATGGTGCCTAACCATCCCCAATTCCCCCAATTCTACCATATACGGGAGGTATAAGCCGTCAAAATATCGGCTTATGATTGCTTTACTCACATTAGATGGGATCTGAATGATGAATCTAACTTTAATCTAACCCCTCTCAAAGTACCCATTCAAACTGGATGATAAAGTGGGTAAAGTAAAGAGTACATATTCAATACTAGCTTGTTTGAATTGTTTGTTTTGGGGTAAGAAATGTTGGTCGTAAAATGCAGCTGTTTGATGTTAGATTCTGCATTCTCTTGACGTAAGACAGCATTATATTTATGTAATTCAAACTACCTTCGTGGACTGCGAATCTTATTTTAAAACAGTAGTTTGAGGGCTACCATGAGCCAGAATATCTTTGCATTTACATCAATTTTCCTCTTGTAAGAGAATGTAAGAGATGGGTTTGTCTGAAAACACGGTTCCATTCAGTGGTTGATCATGATTTCCCCGGTTAAAATGGGCCTTTGGTAGGTCAACCCCATTTTCAAAGACGCCAAACATATCCAGACATGTCATATTGTTGGTTTGGATCCATATGCACAGCCTATTAATCCCTTGAACATGCTGAAGTTGGACGATTTCACGGCGCAGCTTCTGGTCATCTATGTGATGCACAGGAGGAGAACTGAACGAAAATGTCTAAGGGGCCACTGTGCCCGATTTTCTGCCATGAAAACTGGGGCCGGTCCCAGAAAGAAGTCGTCATGAAAGTTTTCAGGGCTCTTTTTTGCACGGCTGTCTCCTGATAGAAAATCGTGCTTCATATGGTTGACCTGTCGGGGGTTTCGAACTACTATTTTCGAGTTTGTGCCACGGGCCAATCATGTTGACGGAGCAGATGCAATTCCTCAAGGCGGAGGGACGGATGTTGGCGTCGATGTCGGAAGCACCACATCTTTATGTGTTTACATACTATAGATAATGCAGCTATGCATATGTAAATAATGTGCATGCATATACATATACATATATATATAAATAAATAATGTGGTTAAAACAACAATAAACCATCCCATTTATTTTTGATGGTTTATGCCACCCATTTATGATAGATTTGGGGATGGTTTATTGTTTTAACCACATTACATACAATTGTTTGGTTTGAAGCAGCATTCACATCCCATCTGGCTCGGACTTGTCAGGGTGTTCAACACCTTTTTTTCGGTCTGAAAATACATGAAAATACGGTACCCCCAAATCATCCCAAATCAAGATGATTGATCGTTTTTCCGGTTTGGGTGTGTCAGATAAACCTCAAATATCCTCAAAATATCATATCCTTAAACATATACATAGGTCACGATCTAAGATAAATATAGATAAATCACATCAGGATAATTCCAAAAACATGGTTAGTAAGGGATAAGTGGAAGTATCCCCAAGTGACCTTATTTCACTAGTGATTTATTACACTTATTAAAGTTTGTCTAGATTGATGTTGGTTACAATCTTATCTGATTATATCTACATCCTATCTAAATATCCCCACCGCTTTGGATGGGACATCCTTTCTGTAGATGACTGTGGTTCAAATCTGGTCATACCGTATCATACCGTGTAAACTACAGGCTGCCACTGGTTTTATCCATACTACCCTCTGGCATGTTAACATAGCTACGGAAGCATGGTCCACTTGCAGATGATTTACGTCTTGAACTTGGCAAAGTATGAGGATTTTCCATGGCTATGCTAATAACAAGAGGATACAAGAGGGTAATCCTTATTGTGTAACCATGAAAGGGGGTCACTTGGCCAAATTCTTGAGATTCCCCCCTGCAAATCATGCGATTGCACTTCCCTGGCGACGAATTCGGGTGGTCTTGCGGATCCAACGTCTTCAGAACTTCCCGAATTCCAAATAAGTATGAATAAAGCATACAGTATAACCAATAAACTTTAACATTATTCTGGTTGGTGGTTTGAACCCCTCTGAAAAATATGAGTGCGTCAGTTGGGGTTGTGACATTCCCAATATATGGAGAGCCATAAAATTCCATGGTTCCAAACCACCAACCAGTTGGGGTATCTGTTTAAATCCCATTAAACCCCCTATTTTTCATGGTTAAAATCTCATTTTAACATATTTTAACCAACCAAAATCTCCAAAAAGTATCCGAGCCATGACCTGTAGATCAGTTCCATGGTCTTCTCGCTCCTTGGCGGCACCTGACAAACGTTGACCTTTCCACAGCTCCCCGGGGTAAAGGTGTACCAACGGACGCGGACACATCTATATATATATATTATAATTATTATTATATCCCATAGGATCCATGGTGCTGCTATATATATATATATGGTAACATGGATCCCATCAATATATCCCAGTCATCTTAGCATATATATATATACCAGCACCATGGATCCGTCATGGGTATATTATATATATATAGTTTCCCTAAGACGTGATCTAGACATGTTGGATGTGAACATGGATTTTGTGTATGAACATATATGAACTTTACTGCAGGGTAATCTTCGATCTTGGGAAAAATGAAAGCAAATAGCAGCACATTGTATATCTATCCATAAACATAGCAGCAAACAATAACCTGGTAACACAAAGTAACCTACCACTCGTAGACGGAGTTACCATTTTTTTTCGAGCTATCTCCAATTCTCAGCAGCATAATTTGTTGTTTCAAGCCCTTCTCATTTGGATTTATCATCAACCAGCCATCATCATCTGTAGTCAGGTTGTTTTTGGTTTTGGATTCATATCCCAATCCATGTTTCTTGGTTAGCGCATCTTTACCCTCATATGACTCATATATTTGATGCTAAAACCCCTTCTTACCCTCCGGAAAATCAGCATGGCTTGCTGGAAAATCTACGCGGCAAAAGCCTCCATGGCTAGTTCGGGGATTTCCATTAAAAAAAAAAAAACACCATGCAACCGATTGTCCCATTGTACAATACACTGCATTAATACCCATCAATATTGATTAAGATCCCATTAAAATCCCATTAAATCCCATTAAATATCATTAAATATCATTAAATAATATATCCCATCAATACTCAATGATTTCATAAACTTACATTTTATCCCATGAATATCCCATATATGATCCATTTCATTGTCCCATTACAGCCCATCAACATGCCACATATCCCACAAATATCATATTAATACCATGTTACATCATATTACCCTCTGGTAAACTAACATAGCTATTGAAAATGACAATTTATAGTGGATTTTCCCATTGACAATTGTGATTTTCTATAGTTATGTTAGTTTACCAGAGGGTAAGTCCCACTAATTTCCCATAAAATTCCATGAAGTCACATGGAAAAATACCATAAAAAGCAACGAAATCGTCATGTTTTTTGGGGTTCAACCCTCTGACCGTGTCACCTCCAATGTCTCAGGACTGAAGCGGAAGAAGCTTTCAGATGTGGAGCCCGTGAATCTGTCAGGTGGGAATGGCACTGAAAAAAATCCTGGGGAAATATATGACTATAGTGGTTATAATACCAATAATTGTGGTGATATATGGTTATATATGGTTATAATAGTGGTTATAATAGTGGTTAATATGGTTATCACCAATAATAGTGGTTGTAGTACCAATAATAGTGGTTATATATATATATATATATATATGGGTTATATGATGGGATATATGATCTTCTGGTTGGTGGTTTCAACCTACCCCTCTGAAAAATGATGGAGTGAGTAACAGTTGGGAAAATGACATTCCCAATATATGGAAAAAATAAAAATGTTCCAAACCACCAACCAGCTCTTAATTGGTTTTACTATTATTTTGACGTTGCTTTGTTGGTTAAAGTATGGACAAGTATGGACAAGTTAGGTTTTTTGCCGTTTGTTTCTTTTATTTAAATATTCTCCGGGGTGCTCCAAACACCCCAGGTACTATTGCATGGTAAATTGGGTACATTGGTAAAGATGATGACCAATGTATCTCCCGCAGTGAGGTCAATCAAACCCATTCAAGATTTTATAAGCCGAAAAAATGTCTTACAGGGTACAAATTCAGTTTTTATAGGCCAGCAAGAAACTGTAACTTTCAATTGCAATCTTCACTTCATGTCATGGACATTTCAATCACCCGCCAGAAAGGCGGCCTCCCCAATAATCAGGGTGAATGAAGGGCTTGCTAACAACCAAACAACACAATTAATTAGGTAATTTTCAGCATCAAACCTTCCAATCATTTACATCCTCGACTGACAACAGTAGATGCCATCTCGCAACATCTGAAAACAATTGAAACTGGCCACTTGTCATTGTGGCGCAGTCATCCTGGAAACTGCACCATGATGCACCATGCACATCACATCGACCACATAATCACTAGTAAAAGATGTTGTGCCAGCTGGCTCTGCCTTTCGAACGCCCAAAGCTTCATGTGTGAAAATGTGATTTTGACCTTGAACGTGCTGGAACTATGTGATGCGCCGACGCTTCCGAGTTTCACTCAGATCCAAAAGTGTGGTCGACGGTGTTGTTTGGTAGATTGAGGCCAACAACTGTCCATCGGACAAGACCACTTGAACACTGTGGACCGTGGCGTGCAACTTCTGGGCAATTTCTTTGTGAATATCCGAAGCAGGGTCAGAGCCCTTTGCTGCAAAGGTCAGCACTTCATGCCCTGCTAAACTCGTGCATGTCAGCATGAACACACCAGCTTCACAAACGAAATCCAGCTGCAAAGCACGGATGGGATTATTGGCACGTTGTCCGTGATGACGGATGTAGCGACGGCTGGCAGGTGCACAAGGTAGGAATTCACGCAACGATTTCAACGAAGGAATGTTACATTGTCCATCGTCATTGAGTCCACAAGCCACAGCAGTGCCATCACTTCGGAGAAGCACTGTATGGAAACTACCTGCAGAAACCTCGGTGTATGAGATGCCTTCATCCAAAAGCGGAATGTTACATCGTCCATCATCGTTGCGTCCACAAGCCACAGCAGTGCCATCACTTCGGAGAAGCACTGTATGGAAACTACCTGCAGAAACCTGGGTGTATGAGATGCCTTCATCCAAAAGCGGAATGTTGCATTGTCCATCGTCATTGAGTCCACAAGCCACAGCAGTGCCATCACTTCGGAGAAGCACTGTATGGAAACTACCTGCAGAAACCTCGGTGTATGAGATGCCTTCATCCAAAAGCGGAATGTTACATCGTCCATCATCGTTGCGTCCACAAGCCACAGCAGTGCCATCACTTCGGAGAAGCACTGTCCGGTGAAACCCTGCAGAAACCTCGGTGTATGAGATGCCTTCATCCAAAAGCGGAATGTTGCATTGTCCAGAGTAATTGTCTCCACAAGCCACAGCAGTGCCATCACTTCGGAGAAGCACTGTATGGAAACTACCTGCAGAAACCTCGGTGTATGAGATGCCTTCATCCAAAAGCGGAATGTTGCATTGTCCAGAGTCATTGTCTCTACAAGCCACAGCAGTGCCATCACTTCGGAGAAGCACTGTCCGGTGAAACCCTGCAGAAACCTGGGTGTATGAGATGCCTTCATCCAAAAGCGGAATGTTACATTCTCCACAGAGATTCATTCCACAAGCCACAGCAGTGCCATCACTTCGGAGAAGCACTGTATGGCACGTACCTGCAGATTCCATGCCAAGATATCCGGATATTAATCGGTATAGCGATTTTGGTCAACGATTCAATCTCTGGGTTGCTTCAAGTGGATTGTTTCGGGCCAGTAACTCAACGGTGGTGTTGTTGACTTCGATTTGCCATGTCCAAGGCTCTGGGACAAAATCTTTGTTGATTTATGGGACAAACGGTCACAGAATGCGACAGATATGTAGACGTATCTTGAGGGCATGGTCAGTACCCACGTCCATTGAACACTGTATGTCTGATGGCTCCACGAAGTCCCTAAGTCTGCTGGTTACAATCTAACCCTTCTTGTGTACATTTGTGTACATACACAAAATCCCCTCACTTGTCCAAATGTGGCAATATGAAGACCTCCACATCATGAAAATCCCTCAACTTCATCAGGCTGAACATCCTTTTCACCGTCTAAAAACCTCTTTTCAGGCCGGTTCAAGGCCACATATCATGCCGTTTTTCTTCAGCTATGCCGTCCTAGTCATGCCGCCATGTCCACACCTGGCAGGCTGCATCAAGGGGTTGGCCACCGCAATCTTGTGCCGCACCACTTGTCGACACGCCGCCTAGGTCCCATGGAAGTCATGGAAACCATGGCTTCCAGACGTCACCAACTGGGGATTTCCATAGGAAAATGGAGGTTTTAATGGGAAAACCATAGGAAACCCATAGGAAAATGGAGGTTTACCCTCTGGTAAACCTTTACATAACAAACTGGAAAGATCCACCATGCTATGAAAATGGGAAAATCCACTATTTCGACTGGGCCATTGTCAAGTTCGCAAACTCTCTGGGTGTATACAAAACTCCGAATTTTCTACACGAAGGCCCAACAGAAAGAATCACAAAAACACATGAGTTTTAGGTCTAGTCAATCAAAGCATTTGTGTGTGTTGTTTCTTGGTATTACAAGGCTGAAACGAACCTCTTTATCGAATCTGACATGAAATCACCAACACATTCCAGACTTGGTGCTGCCCATTTTGTTTGCGCTTCCCTTTCTTTCTTCGGTCGATTGAAGCAATTTATACATGGATCATCTGGGCCAAGCAACACTTTAAAGCTTGTTGGAAGGACATGTGAGCAGTGTTAAAACCTGTTGGAAATTCCCTATGTTTCAATGGTTGGTCTATGGAAATTTCCAGATTATGAGAAGCCGGATGCTTACATTTCCATAAAAAGGATTAAAAAGGCCCATATGAACCTGATAGATTCCCAACCTCCCAGCGGGAGAATTCAACATTCGCCAAATGGGGGTCTTGAAACTGCCCAGCCAGCGTCTCTCCTGAATACTCCCAAACACATGTGATTGGTTTTCCTGTCAGACGTGTGTTTCTCTTTGCCTTCCAGCGGGAAACAATACAAATGGATCCGATTTCAACATATCCATATCTTAATTAGGTCATGATTCAACATAGTCAACTCCAGAATCAAACAATACCATCTGGTTATTTAACATAGCCATGGAAAATCCACCCATTTTTAAGAACGATAAAGCAATGTAAACCATCTGTTTCTATGGGCCATGGCTTAACCATGGCTACGTAACAAATAACCAGATGGTAAGAGTTTCCCCACCGTTATGAAGGATGATTGAGGGTGATGAACGATGAATCAATGAAGAAAAAAATGTTTGTGATGATTCAACATAATCAACTCCAGAATAAAAAACAATAAGTTTTCAAAAACAGAACCATTTGAGTACTCTCCAATAGTCAAACGTGGCTTGTCGGAGATTTGACGAGAGTTGTATATTTTATTTTTTTATGTATGATGATGTTCCGAGCTAACCTCCATGTATGAGGGAGTATCCCATTATGTTCCATTCATATGTATATATATATATATTATATATATATACATGAATAGCCCATCAAATCCCATTTATATCCCATTAAATCCCATCAAATCCCGTCAAAGTACCCCATAAACTTCCATTACCCTCTGGTAAATTAACAGTTTGACCCTGAAAATCACATTTTTTTAAAGGAAACTAATCTTCCAACCCCTATCTGGCAGGGTCTATCTTGATTTACTGAAGATTAGATCCCATGCCCTACCGGCCCTCACTGCTCCCCACCGTTGCACAGGTCTCCGGACATCCAGTTTGATGGTGGCCAGAGATTCGGCGGCGAAGAAATCAAATTTCACTTCGATGTTCAAGAATTCGCCTGCAGCTGCCCATATGTCCACAACATGTTGCACACATGATGTCAATTTATATCATATTTTTTCAATAATACATGTTTCGTTTTATTATAGCGCATTAGATTACGTCAACAAATACACTATGTGTTCTTATATCATATAAATCTATACAAAAAAACACATCATATAATAAATTTATGGAGATACCGGGATACATATTCCAATCAATTAATCATATTGGGGATATAATTTAGTACATTATAATTATCGTTAAATTATATATATATATAATGCTGGAAATTTGGGGATATAATTGATATAATAGTACATCATTGTTATATAATAAATATCATATAATTTAATTCTAAACATCATATATAACTTCATTAATCTTAATCACTTATTCCCATTAATAAACGGAACATTATATTTATATATACGTACAATTATATACATGTTGTATCATTTCATTATAATTACTGTGGATGGTTGCGACATCCTGCATCACCATGATTGGATGGTTTTTCAACATGTTGAAACCACAAAATCATGGTAGGTTTACCACCTACCTATCAACTGATTTGGATTTCCATCCACAGTATGTCCATCATATTCTGGTTGGTGGTATACCTACCCCTTCTGATAAATATGAGTTCGTCACTTGGGATGATGAAATTCCCAATATATGGAACGTCATTCAAAATTCCATGGTTCCAGACCACCAACCAGTAATAACCCAAGATTTTCCACATCTATGTATTATAGTTTATCCCATATTTTCCATTATTTGCCCATATGGTCCATTAAAAAAAAATAGTATGTATGGAAAATCATCCATTATTTTCCATTATTTTCCCATATGGGACTATTTTCCCTATGTATTACCCATAGGATCCATGGTGCTGCTATATATGGTAACATGGATCCCATCAATATAGCCCCAATGTTAGCATATATACCAGCACCATGGATCCGTCATGGGACTATTTTCCCTATGTTTAACCATAGATTAACCATAGATTAACCAGGAAAATTCCATGGTTCCAGTCACCACCAACCAGCTATGTCCATCATATTCCCAACCAAACGTCGACTTCACCGTGTCAGCGGCTACGCGCACCTGTCTCCTGGCTGGTGAGGTGGACCCGCACCAAGGCGCTTCCTTCGTGATACCTGGGGCCGGAAAGGCGGAAAGGAGCGGTCATCCAACAAGGTCCAGGTGGAACCCTCAGGGAACCCTCAGGGAACCCTCAGGGAACCCTCAGGGAACCCTCTAGTTATTGAGGTTTTAATGGGAAAACCATAAGAAAATGCAGGTTTGAATGGGAAAACCATAGGAAAACCATAGGAAAACCATAGGAAAATGGAGGTTTGAATGGGAAAGCCATAGAAAAACCGTAGGAAAATGGAGGTTTACCCTCTGGTAAACGTTTACATACCTATGGAAAATCACCATTTTTTATGGGTAAATCTCTGGTAAACATACAAAAAACGATGGAAAATCACCATGCTAATGGGTCAATCAACTATTTCGACTGGGCCATGGCTTCAACAGCAAACTGTTTGTTTACCAGAGGGCAACATGTGTTGCTTTATAAAGCCCATGAACACCATCGTTATATATATAATATATATATATGTATATATATATATCTACCAGAAACCATAGAATTCAGCCACTTTTTTTAGGCATTACCCTCTGGTAATTTTTAACACTTTGCTGTTGAAAATGGCCATAGTGATCCCTTCTTTTACCTATTAAACATGGTGATTGTCCATAGCGAACTGTCAGTTTACCAGAGGGGATGCTGGCAGAACTATGACTTTTTAACGGTGGGAAGATGCGAGAACTATAACGGTTAAAAGTAGGATAACTAGGATAACTATATGATGGTTTATGGCAAGTCTATGGTAAATTGGTGCAGATCACAAGGATAAGTAGGCAACTATGGCAAGTTTGTGGCAAGTCTATGGCAAGTTTATGCAAGTTTATGGTAGTTATGACTATAGTTATTTTTTCATGATGTTAGATGTCATAACTATGGTAGATATGGTGGGCAAACTATGGTATGACTATGTCATAAATATGGTAGTTGGATGTATTTGGCTATGGTAGTTTTGGTTTTATCACTATGGCTGATAACTGAGGTTTGTGGCAAGTTTATGGTAGTCATGACTAGAATGTGTGACCATTCACCAACTTATAACTGAGTGGCCTCACATTGCTAGCTGGCTGGTTTATTCATTATTTTGATTTATTTTGTCCAGTAACCACTCAACCATAATCAATGTACCAATGGGAGGTTGACATGGGTTGGTCTGAAAATGGAGTATCCCATCATCTAATGGTCGACAGTTTTCAAGATGAACATCATAACTGGTTGGTGGTTTCACCCCCCCTGAAAAATATGAACCTCAGATTGGATCATCATCCCAATCTATTGGGGAAGACAAAAGCCATGTTCCAAACCACCAACCAGATAAATTGGCTGGACCCAATGGAAACTCCATTTTTGGACTCCAAAAAGTGGAGCTTCTCGTCCAAAAAGGCCCCAAAAGCCATGGATGGCGCCTGGTATTTTTCAGCATCGTTACGGGATCCCATTCCGGGATGAAGCGAAACCGACATTCTGAGTGGGGAAGGCCTTTTTTTGGCGTTGATGAGTGGGAACATTTACAGGAAACCATGGGGTTTTTACCACTAAGCGTATTTTGGTCCCATAAATTTAGTATGGTAATTATTAATTATAGCCCAAGAATTTCCGTTCAGCATGGCTGATCCTGGCACCTGGACCCCAAGTGCCAACCAAGAGACGCATAGACGCTGAAGCGATATTCCCGTTCCAAGCCTGAAACATTCGGAGGTTGCAGTGTCAACCAACCGGCAGGAGACCCTCAACACTGTGTCAGTTGCGGGTCCAAATTTGGTTTGGTGATTCAAGGATTGTCAGGGGTGTGGAAAGGTCGTGAATGGGAGATTACTAAATCATCATGAATCGTAATCACCACATGGCATCACAAAAAAAGTCCCGCAAGAAGATAGTCAAAACAAAAGCAGGAAAATCCACTTCCATTGATGAAAACATAATATCCTATCCAATTCTCTTTGAAGTGGTGCCCCACCAGTTATAAATGTGCTTGTTACCCATCTAGCTATAGTTCTTCAATGTTATTCATATTTATTTAGACCTACAATGTGTTACAAGCGCAATAAACCCAGGTTAACCATATCATATATCCCCTTTGGTAAACAAACAGTTTGCTATTGAAAATGGCCATAGAAATAGTTTATTTACCCATTAAAAATGGTGATTTTCCATCGTTTTTTGTACGTTTACCGGAGGGTACTTACGTTCACCAACCTTCGCGAAGGACGTCACTGGAAAACCCAGGCACGTTCCTCAACTCGTATGCCGCGCCTGGAGGAAGGTCCAAGGTTCCCACGCCTTGAAGACTGATGCCCTGCCGCGTTCCGAATGGAAACTGGTTTTCAACACGGACTTTTGGTTTCCCACTTGGTGTTCCTCCCACGAATCGTAAGTAGGTGAAAAATCCCTGGTTATAGTTAAGTGGGATAAGTATGGATAAGTCGGCTTAATCCACTTACAACTGGGGTGAACTAACCTACTTACGATTCGTGGGATGGGCCACGCATGGAGAGTGAAACTCCCCAATCATCCCCAATCTCAATGGGATTTTTCCCTTACCGGTCCGAACCCACTTTTATGGGGCCGTTCTGACAAGACGATTGCCCAAAGAAATCATCAACTGCAACGAACTCTTGGTATTTGATGGACATGGGAATAGTATTTGGTGCTATATTTGCAACAACATATAAATGTATACAAAACATCATCATGAATGAACAAATCCATACCTGCAAAATCCACGTGAGTTCTGAGGTATAGATACCCCCTTATGTATATAGATACGTTGGATGGAAGAAATCCTGCACCAGTTTCCAACTCTTGATAACTATGAAAAAACGAAAATAATGAGACTATAATGGAATAAACCATCTACCAACTGGTGATTTCAATTTCGCATCCATCCACAGTAGATGTGGGGAAACCACTATTTTCCAAATGATTTTCCTCGATCAACCATGGTTGTTGTCCACGTTTTTTGCACATCTATGTATTATAGTTTATCCCATATTTTCCCATATGTTGATAGATATTTATAGATATTCATCCCATTATAGTCCCATTATAGTATAATATATACATATATATATATATGTATATAAACAGTTGCTATTATAGTCAATGGTATATCCATGGGATAAATGTCAATGTTTATAGATATTCATAGTAAACTAACATAACTATGGAAAAACACAACTTTTACTAGGTAAATCAACTATTTCTATAGCAAACTGTTGGTTTACCAGAGAGCAATCCATATGGGGATAGCTATCCTTACCCATGATTACCCTTATGTATAGATATTTAAAGTATTGTTGATACTATCCATATATTATATATCATAATATAACATACTATGATATTATCCGCATCTATCAGTGATATTTTTCAGTTTTATTCACTCATATCCCCATATGTTCATGGTTAAAATTCCATTTTAGCTACTATAACTGGTTGGTGGTTTCAACCCCTGTGAAAAATATGAGTTCGTCAGTTGGGATGATGACATTCCCTATGGAAAGTCATAAAATTCCATGGTTCCAAACCACCAACCAGTTGGGGTATCTTTTTAAATCCCATTAAAGCCCTATTTTTCATGGTTAAAATCCCATTTTAACATATTTTACCCTCTGGTAAACTAACATAGCTATGGAAAATCACCATTTTTCATGGGAAAACTCACTATTTCTATGGCCATTTTCAGTAGCTATGTAACAAATTACCAGAGGGTAGATCCCATTAAATCCCATTAAACCACCATTTTCCTATGGTTTTCCACTATAATCATCAACCAACCAGGCTTTAGCCACTGCACAAATGGCTAGGCATAGCCTCCCCGTTGATCGCAGTGGATCGGCGCCTGAGCCTGTGAGGAGCCGGGCTCCGGCGACACCAGCTCCACGGTGACGCTGAAACGCTGCCTCGCCGGGGTCGAAATCGAAAGCGGCTCTGGATGGTGAAATATCATGGATGTTTTCATTTTGCAAATCGTTCCCACATTTTTGGGAGTAGCTGGGAGCGGCTTCTGGGCCATGTTTGTCATACAACAGACAAACAGGCTGATGCAGCCCCTAATATTTTTGTATGTGTATATGGACAGATATATGTGTATATACAAATATTATATATACTATATATAATTATATATTTATGTATAATTACACTGTATTTATCATGGGACAATGGATATATATATATATGAATATATCATGGAATAATGAGAATGGACATTTTTCTCATGGGATATAAGAATTTAATGGTGGTTTTGAATACACCAAGACATATTTTGGGAATAATGGATGTCATGGGACATAGAATGGATGCGAGCCACAAGACTGTGTAACCAAGAATCTAATGTTGTCAGCAAAAGATAATGGTTCAATGATCAGTCAGTAGGATCTAGGAATTTGGCATTGAAGGGAACACCTCAAGATTTGAAGATTAAGATTATTTCTTTATGATTTTTTACCCTGGTTTCATCATGGTTCATATCCCCAATCACCTGCAGGCTCTGCAGACTCTGCAGACTTTTTTCAGCCCTTCCAGCGTCCGAAAATGGGATCCATGGGGTCCATATATCCACAGGATGCCGTTCCCGGAGCCACCAGTTGTACTCCTTGCTACCCTGAAACTGGAAGATCAGGCGGCCAGGGTTTCACAGCAATCTCACTTTGTATCCACTTTGAGACGATCAACTTCAGGACTTGGAAGGTCATAATCAGCAGGAGTTCAGCAGGAATTCACTTGTATCAACTCTTGAAGACTTGGATGATCATCTGAGTTGTATCAACTCCAGAACTCAGAAGTCTTCATGATCAGCAGTTGTATCAACTTCAGGACTTGGAAAGTCTTCATGATCTGAAGGTATTCAGAAGCACCGCTCATGTACCAGGGTGGGACCGAATTCATCGTAGTCTTTTTCATCTATCCAAAGCCTCAGTGCGCTGGCCGCTGAGGGTCACAAAAGATCATAAAAGTGAACAAAAAACCAGCTGAAGAGCATGTTAGAGTATGAAGAGCTGGTGTGAACGCTAATGGGCTTCTTCTTCAAGATATGAAGTAGAACATCTAAAAGATAAAACAACACATGTCCAGGTTCCTAGCCCTTTTAGATGGCTGAAAAAAATGTTAAAACCCATCATTTCTTGCAGTGGGTCAAATTCCCCATTTGTATTCGCTGAATCCCTGGATCTGTTATTTCCCTTCTCTGGTTGGAGCCATCCCACGGTTGAGGTGTCCTGAGTCATGGGGGATCCCCAATTTCGCTGGTTTATGATGGAAAATCCGATCTAGAAATGGATGATGAAATGGATGACTACCCCATTTCAGGAAACCCCCATATAATCATATAAAACCAAACTGAAACCAGCAAGCAGTGGTCTAAATCACAGCTTAAATGCGGTTGTGTGAACAAAGTGTTCCCCCCTAAATCCAATGGTAAATCATCATCTTTCCCACCCCATAGGGCCATTCAGGGGTATGCCACATGTTCAGAGATACCCATATCAAAACATGTTCCTATCCCAATTTGCTCCGGTATGCCCAAGAATTTTCACCGTCCCTGCGTCCCAAACCATTGAGGTTTTAATGGGAAAACCATAGGAAAACCATAGGAAAATGGAGGTTTTAATGGGAAAACCATAGAAAAACCATAGGAAAATGGAGGTTTACCCTCTGGTAATTTAACATCACTATGGGAAATCACCATAGAAATAGTGAATTTTCCTATGAAAAATGGTGATTTTCCATAGTTTTTTGTACGTTTACCACAGGGTAATCTGAAATAAGGGTAAACCCAATAACGTCCAACGCGGGATGGTTTTGTCATGACTATGACTATCCCATAATTATCTCAGGAGGGGGAACCACCCCGTAGTTATAAGTTGGTTTATCACCCATCCAACAATTCTGAGTATTGACCATAAACCAACATAAACCCCAGTCACGTATACGTAAGGTAGCTATGTTGTCCAACTAACTTAGCAAACTTGGCAGAGTCATTCCATAATTCTGCCAATCTACCGCTAATCAAACATGATTATTCAGATTTGCTGGACAATTTATGAAACTTCCCCATGTATAGCGGATTCTTCAACTGCTATATGGTGGATTACAGTGTTATATTGATTGAACATCCGATCCTTATATATATATATGTCATATAATATACACATATCATTATATATCTATATCATAAACCATGTTAGTATGTTCGCAACAATCCATGAGAAAGGAATACATATGTCATAATTTTCCACTATTCCCACGTATGTTGCCCTGAAAAAAAAACTCTATCTCGAGAGGCTGATATATCTACCATTAACCATAGAATTCACCATAGATTTCCCAGAAATTGTCCCATCTTTTCCTGTTTTCCCATTGATCTTCCCATATTTCTAGAAAAAATCATCCTAGTTTTCCCATAGAATTCCCATGTGTTCATGTTTTCACCATAGTTTTCCCATAGAATTCCCATAGTTTTGCCATTTTCCAACGACTTTTCCCAGGTTTTTCTGCCCAGCATCCGGTGCTCCACCGTGGCCACCATGGCGCCCCCGCGCCAGGCCGCGCTGCCGGCGCTCTCCAGCACCGCCACCGCGACGCCGGCGCGGCCTTTGCGGCGGAGGCCGGCGGCGAGGCGCGCGGCGAAGCCGCGGAAGAGGCCGCCGCCGCAGAGGACGATGGAGGACCTGGGGTCATTGGATATATAGATCCTCCATAATTTATGATATATAGATATAATTAATGGGATTTAGTTATATATTTATGATTTTTCCATATTGAAGGGAATGTCATTGGATTGGTTTGTTGAGGAAAATCGATTAAATCTTCACTGGAAACCATGGTTTTGACCATGAAATATAGGGATTTCCTGTTAATTCATGGGGGATTTTCATCAGGAATATCTGATGATTATGATGATTGACTCATAACTGATGGATTGATGGGATGTTCATGTTATTTTTTCGGATAATATATGATTAGTGCCTCTTTTTGTGTGTTGATATAATTAAGAGTCACTGAAAAAAACATAAAGCAGATTTTATTCATCGATCGCTCCACCTTGGGTCATCATCGACCAAGATGCAAAAGCTCATCCTGGATATCTGCATCTGCCATCATCACAGATTGCCACACCATCTCGACCACGCCACCTGCGAAATCCATAGGAATATTACAGATAAACTGTTCGTCATGACCAGAGAGTAAATGATGATATTCCCGATGACAGTCCACAAATAATCACCATTTGTTGTTCGTTAAATCCCATTCATGTGGGGTAAACAATGTCATTTTTACAACCCATGACTGGGAATGGTAAACATAGCACCAACAAAAATGGTGATGACTGGGCTATATATTTTGATAAATTACCTTTTTCCATGGCATTAATAATGCATATCATTACCGGAATTCGATCATCCATGCGATCTGATTAGTGTATTTAGTATTTAGTCTATAGATGGTTTTCCAGATAAATTTCCGCATCAAAACTGGCATTTGGATGGAACTGGGGTATCTCCCATTTTGGACCAACCCACGTCTGACAAAATAATCCTAACTGCGGCAATGCTAGGGGAATGGTCTGGTTAGCAAAAATGAGGATTGACAAAAACACATCTGAAACTGAAACGATTCTTTTTTTCGCAGAAAAACCGACAAATTTGAAGGCCTTGGCTGGCCAATTTGAGGTTGCCATAAATTCTGTACAAGTCACGTATTGATGTTCATTAAATCCGAAAAAAAGTCACCAATCAAACTCCCACAAGCCCAAAGAAGACCCTGCCGTGCCTTGTTCCTTCCCTTGGAGCTCCGGTTGGAACAAGGCCTCCGGCCCCAGATGCCGCTCCGCGCCCACCCTCAGCGGAGCGGCCTTCTGCGTCGACTCGGACTCGAGGGATGGGAGCTCAAAGCCTCCAATCTGCCACGTTTCAACTGAAACTTCACATCAATGGTGCGTGTTTTTCTATGTTCTGTAGTATATTAGCGTATATTTGTGTATATATATGTATATGATTGTATATACGTATATACCCTGACATGTGCTTTTCGATGTTCTCTAGTTTTTTTTGTGTGTGTGTCATACTGTAACATACTGTAGATATGTATGATTATGTATACCATGGCATTCCAGTCACCTTTGAAACACAGGGAGTTCTACTAAGGGATGGGAACAGGTACATCCACTGGTGCTAAACGTAGGGAATGGATGGGTTGCTGGGGGTTTCTGGGATTCTTGTTGATAGTTGTGGATCATTCCCGATTCCCTACGAAGCACAAGTAAGTAACATGGTATAACCCTGGAATCCCGAAGCCAAATTCAGGTTTTCATCTCATCACCTTAGGACAAAAACACAACTGTTCAAACGTTTGTTGGAGCTTCCAAGTTCGGTTCTGTGGACATGGCAATCAGAAAAGTTCGGGTTGACACAACTTAGGGATACTCAGGGTACAATATGAGCACCTCCCATAAAGGCTTTCCAACTTCTGTTTTACACAGTGTTTTGTTTGTTTTTCTATGTTGCATCTCTATATGTTATGTATGTAAGTGTATATATATATATATATATATTGTGTATATATATATATATGTCCGTGACACCACCTTCGAAAATGGAATTTCGTAAAATCCGCCTACAACGGTGATGTTTTTATTGCTGTGATGCAGGTTTTTGCTGCAAGTAAATCGTAGTAGCATTAAATGGATATATGTGGATGTATGGTTCTCTATGTATAATCGTGGATATATTAATGCACACATGCATGTATGTAACGTGATGTGCCTGTAAATACCTGTGATGCCAGTCATTGTTGGACTTTGGATTGAACAAACTGAATATTTCTTGGACAAACACACCATGAAGCAACAAAAAAAACACAATTATAAACACATGGTTGACGCTCGTGGATACTCCAGTGGATCTGAGGGTGTCTCCTGGTTCTGAAGTGCTTAGAAGGGAACTATTCATATTCCTAAATTACAGCTTTGAAGGGAATATGTTGGGTGGGCCTTGGAAACTGCATGAACCCCAACCTGGTTCCTGGCTTTGCTCATTTCCTGAAACATGTTTCTCAACTACTTGATTCTTGATTTCACTTTAGGGCATTCGACTCGAAAGAACTCAGAAATACTAGAATTCACAAACCATTTCTTTACTCCAATTTATCCAACTCGTATTATTTATCTTCTTTTTCTATATAGTAGTTCACTTTGGAAACTACTCTCCCCATTTCTCCTCTTTGTAACCTGGGGCTTCACCCATGAAACGGCATCAAGGATCTAACCTCACCCTCCTCGACTTCGTCGCATTGAACGAAGCCCAGACTTTCTTTGACGTTTTCCTGAAAGCACGTGTTATCATCCCGCAACCCCGCAATCCAATACCAAAATATACCAAACCAGAGTTTCCAAGGGGGGTCCCCTCAATGTCTTAGGGGCTTTTGGTGCTTCATCTGCACCCAGTGGTCCCAAACGCCTCAGATTCTTGTGTGCCACCCCTGTGAAGCTAGGCTTATGGCTTTTGAACCAAGAGTCGGCAATTTTGAAGCCCATTCTTGTGGACAACCTCAGCTGCTTTGTCCTCTTGCAAGGTCGGCAATTTTTGGGAGCAACAGCAATGTGTTTCAGCAACAGCAACAGTCTTGAAAGTCAGAAATACATAGTCTAAATCAACAAGTGAAATTTACATTGCCAATCTTAGATACCCTGCAAGAAATTAAATTCTTTGCTGGTTAGTGGATATTCCCATTGATACCAAAAGACTAAAGAATTAAAGTATCCATGTAAGATTGACCTAGTTTCTTGGGAAAGTCGTTTCTTGACCCTCAAGACTCGAAAAATCTTACCAGTTGGAGCTAACGCAGTGTGATGTTTCCTTTGGCAAGGCTTTGACGTCAACTGGTTGACAACACAAATGGAAAAACACTACAGCTAAAGAATGCAGAATACACAGATATATATATATATATGATTATATATGCTGGTTTGCGGATGTTCATCTGACAAGTGTTGGCTGCTTTCGGATGTTTGACCAGCATCCATACTAACAACCTTTAGTATAACATGCAAAAGAAAAACATGTTAATCATTAATTCAAACCCTGTGGTTTTCACAGCTTCAAGAAAGCAGCCTGCAGTCGTCGTTGCGCCCTTGCAAGCCTTTCCTTGGATTTGCCCAAGGGCCATCACAAAAAAAATCATGCATATCTTTCAGGTCTAACAGTCCCTTTTTAAGGGTCAGAAATCCTGAGCCGAAACAACAAAATTCACAGGGACTAGGTCAATGGGAATTCCAGGATCCTAAAATGGAGGTACTATACCATATAAGACCATATTTTTGGGTCATATGCCCTTACATAGCCCTTACATAGGCCTTATATATGCTAGGTACCTCCAATTTAGGTTCCTGAAATGGCCATTGACTAGGTGACACTCGGTCCAAAACATGGTCCCGCTGCTGGTTCATCCACCTGGCAAAATCTTGGGATCCGACTGGGTGAAGGAACCCCATGAAATGTGAAGGTCATATCCCATAGGATCCATGTATGGTATATATGGTAACATTGGGGGTATATTGATGGTAAATGTTACCATATATAGCATACATGGATCCTATGGGATATGGATGCTGTCACAGAAAAAAACACTTCTGTGACTGAAGTTGCCAATCTCTTCCTAATTGAAATGGCAAACTCGGGCAAACAAATCCCCATTTCGCAAATCCAGGTCTGTCCAAAAACAGAGTACTCCATATTTTGCGATGCTTGATAGACTTGATAACTTTATCATAATGGTTCTCTGTCAAAATTGCCATAAACCAGGGTAAATGAACGATTCTTGGACTAACCCAATCATATTATTTTGTTGGGTTCATATCCCAATCTATTAATTCCCATTACGCTTGGCTGTCGTTTTGTTCAATCCCCGCGTATACCCTGCTTGAAAATGTTTTAATATCCATTGCACTTTCGATGTCTATCGCGAGAATTAAACCGATTGGCATTCATTTACATAATCTCAACCCCAGATTGATGAACTCGGTTGATAAATCGTGTGGTTGGGAAACTCTTGGTAGCACAGCTCCTTAGCTTCCCATTTAACAGGGACATGGATTCATAGCTCCTTATTTCGCTCCTAACTACCCTGTAGCTAATTAGTGAGGTAGTCCCCCAAAATCGTGACAAATTGGTGAACTGGGAACAGATTTTACCTTCCGCAAAAGCAATTCACCCAAATTCCAGAGTTTTCCGCACGGCTCAAATCCACGCTTCAGACTAGTCCTGTGTATTGTAGGTTATATATAATAGATGATTCTACAGATGTATACCTCATTTCATCCCATTTGGGTCAATGTTAGTTGGTTGATGTTGTTTGGAGGTCAGGGCACATCCCAATTTTCTAGCTAAAATGGGTAGCTCTTAAAATGGGGAGCGCATTTTCAACATCCAAACATGATCAAACATGTAGGCAATGTAGGCAAATCATTGGTGAAAAGGGAAACGCCAAAAATCCCTTCCAATCCAAGTTACTTGACCACCTCTGAAATCTCCTCTTGATCTATTGATCTACAGAAGAACTTCTATGTTTCATCCCTGATATCCCCATGATATCCCCATGATATCCCCATGATATCCCCAAGATACCCTCTGGTAATGGCTAACATAGCTATTGAAAATCACCATGTTTAATGAGAAAATCATGGAAAATCCATGATTTCTATGGTGATTTTCAATAGCTATTTTGACATAACCAGAGGGTATCCCTGCGAAATCCAGGTCTCAAGATGTAGCAGGTGATCTCGCGCCCCCCCAGATCCAGCTGCTGCACCCCACTTTCGATCAGAAAACCGTCGTAGATGGGAACCGTGCAGGTCACCGTGTCCCCGCAGTCGAGGATGACGCCTGCAATGGAGATATGATTCACACCGGTTTCAACGGGGTGGTTCTATGGAAAAGCAGATGAAACCAAGGTATACTGTCAAATATAGGGCATAATATAGGGCTTTCCATGGGTTTCTGATATATATATATATATATTATATATATATATATAAAGACAGGTAAGTTAGGTTCATAACTAGGTTAGGATTTTAAAGGTGGATACCCTCTGGCAATCAATCATGGTTTGCTGGTTTGAATCCAGCATTTAGTTCGATGATTTTCCCAATCAACAAACTCTATGTTTAGGGCATTTCCCAGCAAGCCACGTTTAACTACCGGAGGACATATTGCATATATAATCATCCCACTAAATCCTCCAATCATCCTATTCATAGGGTATCAATACTTCGTGGCCACAAAAAACAGGATGATAATATCAATAATCCTATAGAACTATTGATTATTATTCATATCATTATTATAGGATTTAGCCCAATTGATTATTATTCATATCATTATTATCATATTGATTTGTTATAGTACTATATCATATGAATATCAATTATTATCATTATAGTACTATATCCCAATTATATAATAGTATTATTATCATTATTATTCCTATCCCATATTAATAATCAATCATAGCCCACGTTTCAAAAGTATTCGAAAGTTCGTTTTTTTTGATTGGTCCAACGGCTCCAGTATAGATGATTCGCCTCCAGCAGAGGTTTACAATGTGGAAAACCCACACTTCAACAGATCATGTTCCAAGAAAAACCATTGGTTTTCCACATCGAACTGTTAGTTTATCATAGGTATCCCTAGGTTAACACATGCAAATTCTAGGAGCTTTTGGATACTAACAGTACTGCTTAGAACACCTGTGATGAGAATTTCTGCAGTGTCGTCCGTGGGTGATCTTTGAAATCTGATCTTTGATTACCTTCTTCACTGGATTGGTTTAAGGGAACATCTTAACCGGAAACCATAAATGTTCCCATTTTTCTATGGGGCTTAAACCAGTAAATTTTCCCGGAAACCAATCCATTGACGTCTGGTTACTTTACAGATGGAATGCTATGGATAATGGCTCCCTAATACATGATTTATGACGATTTACCTATTGAAACTGGCTAGTTTAGATAGCGAGGTTAAACTACGAGAGGGTACAGTGCTTGTGTACGAAGGATACTGGATACTGTGAAAAAAAAAAAGTCCTCCCAACATTCCCAAACATATAAGGAAAAAATCAACCCTCGATGTAGAAAACATTCACCCTGCAGTGTATCCTCTTCGTTTTCTTATGTAACCTCATGACTCTAACCCCATTTTCTTCATATCATGGTTTCCGAATTGCTTATGCCCAATCTTCCCATATCTTACCCAGTCTCCAGCTTTTCCAAACCCATATGCTCCATAGTGCTGGAATATTTACCAACATTTGCCCGAACAAAATCACCCAGTCATGTAGGTAAATATACCAGCACCATGGAGCATATGGGAAATTATGTTTGATTGGTGATTTAAATTTACCCTCTGGTAAACTAACATAACTATGGAAAATAACACTGTTTAATAGGTAAATCAACTAAAAATTGGCAATGTTCAAAATTTATATTTACCAGAGGGTACATTTCACCATCTTTGCTGAATGGATTCCTGTTGTCCTCCCTGAGGAGTACAGCGCCAGCACGGGTTGCAGGAAAAGAGAGCAGCGCTTCACACCGAAGGTCTCAAACCTTCCAAGCAGGTTTCAGGGGCCCTTCAAAAAAACGAGACAACGCTAGGTGTCCGGTAGGTGTCCTCTTGGTGGAACATCAAACTATATAGGTGAACTATGGTGAACTGGGGCAGTAATACTGAGATCTATCCACAGTTCTCCGCAGTTGACATATCAAACTAGGTGAACTGGAGCAATACTGGGATATATCCCGAACTGGGATAATTGTTATAACTGTGGAGAACTGTGGATAGATCTGGGAGGTAAATAACTGTTATAACTGTGGAGAACTTATCAATACCCACAGTTGTCCACAGTTGGAGGGCCGTGGTTTGCCCCGAACTCTCGAGGCAAGACGTTGGCTCGGGGCCCAGAAACCCAGAAACCCATCCGGACGCTCAAGCCGGCAAGCCTCAAATATGTGGTCCATTGTGGTGTTATGGGAATATATTCCAGATATCATGGGAATATGATACCAATCAATTATCCAAATGGAATATTATGGTATAATTATCCAATGGACCAAAGTCAATTATCGCTATGTCCGCTATGTCCCATAAAATTATCCAAAATTGGACACCAGACAATCACCTTTCCACCAATTCTTTATGGAATAGATTGGGCCCCTTTTTGGGCATCTAAAAAAAATGCTGTTCACCCAATGCAACCTTGCATTTATTGTGTCACCACCTTTTCAAATGGCTGAATAACATGGCAGTTGTAAGCCAGAATCATGAATTCGAATACGAAAAACACTCAACAGTCTTTTAAAAATTAAAGGCAACCAACTTGCCATCAACAAACAAATGGGCAACCATGATGGCAACCATGATTTCCCAACTTTTGCAGGAAATAGGCGGTGTTCTACTTCCTGTTTTTATCCGGTCCTAAAATATATAATATCCACCAATATATTTCCATAATCTGGTTGGTGGTTTGAACCCCTCTGAAAAATATGAAAGTCAGTTGGGCTGATTACTCCCAATACATGTAAAATCATAAAATTATATAAAAAACATGTTCCAAACCACCAACCAGATATATTTCCATAATTAACACTTCCAAAGTATCCAAGTAACATGCTGTGGATGAGTTTCTCGCGATTTGCTTTGGGATTCAGAGCTGGTTCCGTCAACAGCACCGGATGCTCTGCCGGGTCCACGTGGAGATTGAAGAAGATGTGCCTTGCTGAGAGCAGGCTGGCAATGGGGTGGAGATATGAAGATCATTCCTATTATGAACCATATGTTTTCAGGCAGTTTCTCATCATTATCAATAATAATAAACAACAAAACAATAATCGATATGAATCAATCATGATCAAAAATGATCAATGATGATAATGATCAATCATGAAGCGTCAGTAATCAATGTCCAACCTCCATTTATTGTTTTTTCTTTAACACACACACACATGTAGAATGTAGAATCATCCACAATGAGTTATCCTCTAACATCATTCGGCTTTAAGCCTCGCTTCCTCACCGAAACACTATCATTGTTTGGCTACCAGGTGTCCCAATTGTGGAGTGTAATTATCCCCAATAAACCCGGTAGTGAAACTCACTATAACGACCAATGAACCATCATGTTTGTTCATTTCTCAATTATCTCCAAATATGTTTGATAAACATTGTTGAAACCCGTCAAAAGCCTATCATTGATTGTTCAATCCCGTAAAATCATGAAAAAATGGTCTTCTCCTCGGCTCATTGGTGCTTTTGACACCTCTACAAACGAAGACCCACCGAACTCGATTCATACAATGGTAGCTAGGTGTTACGACCAGTCAAGACACGACCCATGTAACACATGTAACAGGATCACCCCTTAAGTGTTGTCATCTTTGAAGATGATTCCATGCTTCCATGATTTAAGAAAACAAGTATACAATGCAATTGATACAATTTGATGGATATTGATGGTAATGTTTCAGCTTCCAGCTGCAATTTCCAGGGTCATCGCAACTTGGGGCCAGATTTCAACAGCCCGGCAGCCGGAAGATGTGCTCCAAATCGTCCCAATTCACCACCACACCACGATGGATGGGCTCCTTCCTCGGGCAGAATGCGCATCTACCAAGGTAGATGTGGGCGGGTGTGTTCCTATATCCCCCTAATATATCCTTGTAATTTCCTATATAATATATCCTAATGTTGAATGCCCCATTCCGTTCTCAACTTGTGGCAGTTTGCTATGGCCATTCAACAAAAACATGGCAGGACTGAAACTGAAACCAACCTGAAAATGCCTGAATGTCCCGGCAGTTCTATCCACTTCGGTTGCCCTCAAGGGACAAGGTAACCAAGAATGACGTTGGTTTCAATGGACCAAGCCCTATAACATCCCCCCATCGCCTCCAAAAACAGAGGGGATAAATAGACTACCTATGCATGGTCCATAGCTCGGCTATATACGACTTATTGCATAGCTTGCCTATCATTATACAATATATATATATATACATATACACTCCCACTCCCTGTCTACTTCCCAAATACTTCCCATATTCACTGCACCATAAGGAGAAATTGATGTTAACCAGCTGATTTTGGGGCATCCTTTTTCAGACAAAACCCGTTTTTGTTTGGCAAGAACATGGATTTGTTAATATGCTTTTCTTTTTGTGGATGTCCTTCAAAATAATGAAACAAACATATCAGATTGCACCCAACAACAACAGTCCTACATGGGCAGTGCTTATGCAGCTACAAGCGGCTAATGTTTAGTTTCTATAGTATATACCGGTATATGGGGAGCATTTAGGGTAGGGGAAATCATATTAAATTATATATAAAACATATAGTTTTGCTACGCGTAACAGATAGGGCAGTGGCAATTTAACATAGCTATAGAAAATCACCATTTTTAAGTTCGCTAAACCATCTATTTCTATGGGCCATTTGTTTACCATAGCTAGGCTATGTTAGTTTACCAGAGGGGACCAGACCTGCCGAGCGGCTGAATTAGGATGGCTTCTTTTCCTTCAATCTCATGACCCACCCAGGTCTCTCGCGGATGAGCCTTGAGGATTCAGCTGGCGAGCCCCGGGCTACGTGGATATTTGTAATTGTATGTTTAATATTTGGTGAACATATGACAGATATTGTATTAGATATACAGTTAATACTTAATTGTATTAATAATTCCATCAATATTAATGTACTATTTTCACCATCTTCATTGAACTATACTGCAATTGATGGGCTAATATGCGTTTCTAGATTTTTTTGGGGGGTTGTTTCGTCAATGTATCATTTCGTGATTTTGTTAGACTACCCAGCCATGTCGTAAAATACAAATGCAAATACACAACAAGTTAATATATACATAATGTAAAACATTTAAGAACACAAATAATATACTATATGCAAATAAAGAAAACACACACGCAAACACGCATGTTGCGGAAAAAAAAACATGTTACATGTATATACAAAACATTCAACAATTAGGATCTTAATCTTTAGTTTCTATTCATGTTGGATGGATTTTTAGTATAACATGTACGAACATGAACCAACCAAGTATACTATGTGTATGTTTGCATCTCAGATATACCTTGCCCTAGACCTTCCCAGTACCAACAAAAAATGGGTCAACGTGCTAAAATTACGGAGTACAGTACCAAGTTCTATGGGCAGGTGGAGGATATAGGTGGGTATCTATCTTTAGGATTCTTTATGTTATAAGGTGAGACCCCCCGAAAGTGAAATTGGAGCCATTCTTGCAGCAACTTGGCTATCAGTTTAGGGCCGAAAAGAAAAGATATCATTCAATTCTCCTTAAATTGTCTCAAATTCCATATGTTTGCCGTATAGTAAAGCAATACATAAACCATCCCCAATTTTCCCATTTTTGATGGCTGGGACCTCCAACCATTAACATATGCTTCAAGTTTTTCTCTTAACATTCTGGCGAAATCAGGTGACATCGGTGAAATCCCCATGAAATCTCCAATCCTCGCCACCATCTATCCACAGCTGCCAGGCCACTCCAATCATGGCGCCCTGGCCATACTTCGCTCGCCCCACGCGCGAAGGCACCACCAGCTGCGGTGCGGAGCCCGCGGCTTCGCCCGCTTTGCAGCTGCCGCTGCCCAAGTCGATGACCACCGGCGAAGCCATGGCGATTTAGTCTGCCATTTTTTTTCAGGTCGATTTTGATTGGAGCTACCTACCATTCTTTGTGGGTCTATTTTTTTGGGCTATTGAAGGGGATATACCTCGAAAAATATGGCTGTAAATGGTACGTTAGCCTCAGTCCAGGTACCTGAAATGGCCACCGAATCATCATGGGGATATCATGTGTGCTCATGTAGATGTACCGTCCATCAAACAAGGCAAGCTGGCAAACCTTCTAACTAAATGGAGATTCTAGTTCTATGGGAAAATCATACAACTAAATGGTTGATTTCCCAGGTGATGTTGAGGCTATTGTTGGACATCTTTCAGGACATCAGACGATGGAAGCCTACCACAGCGAGCTTCGAGCGCTTGGAACCCATTACCTGCGTTTAGATGTGGTTGGGGATCCTCCAAAAATTGGATAAACATGGTACCCTCTGGTAACTTAACACTATTGAAAATGGCCCAGTTAGAGTTGATTTACCCATTAAAAAATTGTGATTTTCCATAGTTATATTATTTTACCAGAGGGTAGATATAAAAAGAAAAACATCAAACAGTCACATGACACTTACAGTAACACAAAAATTGAAACCAGCAGAGAGACTTTTTCAAGTGACCTTTCGGCAACGGGAGGTCAGATGATTCCCCATGACCCAGTGGCACCTCTCATGCAGCCAGTTCTTGACTGGAACCGCCTGAACGGGAAGCCGAGAATGCCTTGAAGAAACTACCTATTTCTAAGTATATATATATAATTCTAGTACTTACATATACATGTTGCTTATATATATATAGAGTGTATATATATATATATGCCTATATAACCATATATATGTATAATCAAATATCAGTGTATACATATTATAAATATATAATTATAACATGAAACATCACATCAAACACTGATAATTGCATATCATGCTCTTCTTCTACATTCCATAGCATTCCTCCATGAAAAGTCAGAATTTGCTCCGCACCTGTGTGTGCTTCTTCTTGCAGGGCACTTTCGCCTCCAGCCTCGAATTCACCTGGCACATTGGTCTGCTGGAAGCTTCATGGGGCCCATGGGGCCCACTCCTAACTTCAGCGTCCAAACTAAAGAGTGATTAGTTTCCACTGCTTAGAAAAATCATATCCAAACATATCCAACCTGAATACTGTTCAGTATTCAGTAAGATCCCAAACTGATCAGGTGATTCAAACAGTTTAATTATCCCTGGAGGCTATCTCCGCTGTTCCAGGTCCGTTGATCCGGTTGGCAAATCATGATCAGGTAACCCCCTTGTTGCTAACTATCACATAACATGTTAAGTCACAATAAAAATACATGTTAAGTCACATAAGAGGATATACTATACTGATCATAACATGTTAATGGGTTATTTTTGTAGGAACTATCACATACTATCACCCAGTTCAGTCATGAAGCATGGCTAGCATGGGGATTACAATGAAGCGGCAAATATATGGGGAATGAACCAACAACATGGGCATCTCTGGAAAATGGGCTATATCCTCCAATGGCTATTGATAATTCCGGGATAGTCTTGCTGGTGCTTAGTAATGGTGGAATGGGATGATTGATGTCTATAGTAATGATTCGGATCATTCCCCCATTCCCCTTATCAGCGCCAGTATACTTTCCCTCTAGATACTCACTATTGAAAATCACCATAGTAACTATGGTAAATCAACTACAAATTCATAGTCCCTAGTAAATTAGGTAGTATAAGTCCCTAGAGTAACCAATCAACATCAATCAACCATGTTATTTTTCCATAGCAAACTCTTAGTCTACCAGTGATCCATTGGTGTTCCGTCACCGTTGTGCCTCCGGTGGAGTTGCTTCACCCTCCAACTCGTAGCACACGGCGTTGCCATCGGGCGTCCTGATGGGCACACACAGGATGAGGTAGATCATGTCTGTACCCTCTGGTAATGACTAACAGTTCGCTATTGAAAATGGACCATTTATAGTTGATTTACCTATTTAAGATGGTGATTTTCCATAGCCATGTTAGTATAATTGTTAATATAATGGATAATGTATAAGATGGGCAAAATGTCAAAGACCTTCCCGGGTGGATGATGTTTCAAGGGACTCTTGAGAAAACAATATGATATTTCATGACTGGTTGGTGGTTGACCTACCCCTCTGAAAAATATGAAAGTCAGTTGGGATGATGAACTTCCCAATATATGGAAAAATAAAAAATGTTCCAAACCACCAACCAGATAATGTATAATGTATAATGGATAATGTATATACAGTATATACATATTAAATCATATTAATATTATATAATAGATCTGTAGATGACATGATGTGGCAATGCCAACAATAGATCCACGGCCATTTCAGGAACCTGAATTGGAGGTACTTACCATATATATAAGGCCTACATAAGGCCTATGTAAGGGAATATCCCAACAACATATGGCCTTATATGGTACAGTACCTCCATTTTAGGATCCTGAAATTCCCATTGAATAAACCTCCAATTTGGGTAATATATATATATTTATAATATTAGAAGCTGTTGGAAGTCATTCTTTATATATATATATACATACAGTAATGTACGCACAAATATCAATATATATATATATATATGTATATATATATATATGTATATATATATATGTATACATGTATATATATATGTATGTATATATATATACATATCTAGATTTGTATGTCATCTTGTCATACTTAATATAGAATAATATAGATATTGTGGGAGATAGCCAGCTGGGTCGAATAAGCCACCCGTTTGCGCAGCCCCCGCGGCGCCCGAGGAAGATGGTGCCCTTGTGCTTCTCCACCCGTGGTTTTCCACTGCTTGGACCTTGGAAGGGAACATCTATCAGTAATTTATGGGTGATCTAATAGATACTCTTAGTAATGTGGTTAAAATAATAAACCACCCATTTGGGAATGGTTTGTAGCACCTATTTATGGTGATTTGGGGGATGGTTTATTATTGTTTTACCCACATTAACTAATGATCTTAATACTATCTCTTGGATAATCTTGGTAATTATATCCTAGTAATCTGAGTGGTAACATCTTAGTAATCTGATGGTAATTAGATCAAATCTAATGGTGATTTTTGACAGGATTTAGCCACCAGAAATGGTCATTTCATGGGTATCTACTGGACACCAGGCTCAAACTGCTGGATAGCCGAAAACCTTTGGGAGCCCAGAATTGAGTCCTCAGAAATGGCACCCCGGATTGAACTAAACCCTGGTTGATTGCGCAATTAGTTAATTAATTACCAAGATTAACTAAGTGATATGAATTGTATTAACTATTATTAAGATTATGGGGGCAGTTGTTTTAATTAGTGCTATGACAGAGATGATAAATCGATATAAATCGTTCATTCCACTAAAATGATACCCTCTGATTATTTAACATAGCTATGGAAAATGGCCCATTTACAGATGATTTTCCCATTAAAACCTCCATTTATAAGGGATTTTCCCTGGCTATGTTAAATAACCAGAGGGTATCAACTGCAATCACCCCAATCAAACAGCCCGGCAGTTGATCCCGGCTTGCCGGAAGAACCACCACATCACACGTTTTTCCAGTACCAATGCAATGCATCTCATGACCTTTGGATGTGTTTGGGCCGGGAAACTGCATATTTATGCCGTGCTAACCTCATGATACTCCGAGCATCACAATATTTTTGTGGTCAACAAGTGAACTGATGACTTGAGCAGTGTTCAAAAGCCTATGTCCTTCCTTAAAAAAATGGCTGGTTTGTTCAGGATTTCACCAAATATCTTGGATTGTGATCATCCCCAAATCCCCAACTATATATTGGATATGTAGTAAAAAAAACAATATACCATCTGGTTATTTAACATAGCCATGGAAAATCACCATTTTCAATAGGTAAACCATCTATAAATGGGCCATTTTCCATGGCTATGTTAAATAACCAGAGGGTATATCATTCCAATATATTTGGGTTTTGGGGATGGTACATATATTTTTGATATGTTATTGTGAATGATATTTGGGATATGTAAACAAGGACCTTTTTATTGGTACCCTCTGGTAAACTAACATAACTATGGAAAATCACAATTTTTTTAAAAGGAAAACTCACTCTAAATGGCCATTTTCAATAGCTATGTAACAAATTACCAGAGGGTACAACCCCCAATGAGTTCCCCCGCTTCCCGTGGCGTCTCCAGCCGTCATGGTCAAGGGCATGTAGTAGACCTACAGGCTTGGCACCATACCTGCAAGTCTTTGCTTTAATGTGTATATATATACATAATTATATATATAGTGTACACATATACACTTATATACAATTACACATGGTGTAAAAATTGCTAGTCATATCAACCAGTAGTCATCATATCATTCAGATTTCCCCATGCCACGACATCATATCTTTGGAGCCCCCCATTGAGATAGAGCCACAATGGTTCCATCAGTTGCCTGCAATGTGGCATCCTTCTTGGCTGGAACCACAATTTCCTCGAGCCACTGGCGCTTCGCCGAGCCATAAAATCAGAAGGGAACATGCGGAGTTACACGACCAAAGTTGTTGGGTGTATGTAAAATGTCCATAGTTGGGAAGTATATGTTGGGTGCTTTTTATTTGAACCTGTACCCTCTGGTCATAGTTGGGCAACGGAAAATCCCGTTCCGTAATAGATTTTATATGTATATTATATATTATTTGTATATATATAAATATATTCCCATTCAAATGCCAATATATGTATATTATGTATATATATATGTATATATTATATATATATATGTATATATAGTGATATATAGTAAATTTAGCAATTATATAAATATGCCATTGCCAGGTTCGATTACCGGAGGGTTTTCTATGTACCCATCCCAGGCGACGAGAGGGTTTTTCTTGTGGGAACCAAGAGGTGGTTCCAGTGGAACAAGGCTCGGGAAACAGGAAACCTGTACAGAAAAATCCTACATGTGGATCACTTGTGGATGAAAACCATTGTTTTGCTGTCGATTTTCCCTCAATTCATGCCTGTGAATATTGCTTGTTCAGACTCGTTCAGACCATATACATATATATATATACATATAGTTATATATATATATAAATATAATATATCTGGATATATCTGGGTATTTGGAGATTATGAGCCAAAGTATACCACAACAATTCATCATTTGGTCCCCAGCCATATCCCAGCCATATCGGCTTCTGAATCCTGTCCTATTGGATTCACCCCAGAACCCCCAGAAATATGGCGAAATCTCATTGTGGACTCCCGCGAAATATGGCTGTAACATGACTGGTTGGTGGTTGAGCCATCCCTCTGAAAAATGTGACTTCGTCCGTCAGTTGGAAAAATATATGGAAAAATGTTCCAAACCACCAACCAGATATTTTGATTGGTGATCAAATCACCACTTAGTTTTTTTTGGCCAGGTCAAATTGTCAACATCTTTGTTGATGAAATCCCTGTGAATATGTGTTGGTCACTACAATTGGTATCTTCTTCGGACCCAGGTCATTGCTTCCTGTCCTTTTCGCAGCTGAAATAGTTGGTGCCAGGAGGTTCTTGGGTGGCCACCTACCGCGGTGGATACAGGATGCCACTCAATTGCGGATCATCCCAACGTAGTGATCATGGGGATTGATGATTGAACCATCGAAAATATGGATACCATAGGACTATTCTGGGATTTACGGATTTACAGTGCATATGTACCCTCTGGTAAACTAACATAGCTATTGAACATGGCCATAGAAATAGTGGATTTTCCCATGAAACATTGTGATTTTACATGGTTTTTTGTATGTTTACCAGAGGGTAAACATGTTTGCAAACAAACACAACAAACAGTCTTGATTTGGCCTTCAAAAGTGTTGCAGAGTTGGAGCGCAACACTCCCCCGGGGTAGAGGCAAGAAATTGTGTCATGTGGATGGTTTCCGAAAGTATAATATATACCCTGGAACAAAAATTAAAACCCAAAGATGGCTTTGGAAAATCCTCTTTGTATAGTTTGTGTCAGACAAATCCGTCCTTTTACAATTCTGAGGGATGTTTTTGCTTTTGAGAAAACTTGGATCAAGATAAGACATTTACCCATCGATTCCCTAAGTGGCTGATTTCCCATTGGGAACATAGAAATCATCGACAGCAAATCACGATACTACTTGGTGGTTCATCCCACTTAGCAGGTTATATCCCTGGTGATTTCAGTGGGATAAGTAGACTTAATCCACTTACAACTGGGGTGAACTAACCTACTTACGATTTCAAGTAGTAGCTTAAGATGGGAATCCCGATTAAATTCCATGAAATTCCGATTCAATCCCCATTAAATCACCATTGATACCCCCCACTAAAAAATCCCGAAAAACGAGTCCCAATTTTATATCCCATTAAATCACCATGTATATTCCATTTATATCCCAGGTTGTCCCATGTTTTTGTTCGGACAATTTTGGTGCCTGTGGATACAACTTCCAGTCGCTGTCCGTGGGGTTCTGGATCACAAAACCTGGAACCATCTGCAAACCCGTGCGATCCGATGGATCGAAGCTCCCCAAGCATCAGCTTGCTATTACTTGATATGAAATAGCGGATTTCTAATATCTAACAATATTATACAATATTATACAATATTATACAATATTATCCAATATTATACAATATTAAGTAATCCAACAATCCGTTTTACTTAATCCGTTATCAATCTAGTCACTTAATAACGGACTTCTAAGGTTACAGTAAGTAAAACATGGTAAAACTCATTGTTATATAGGTTCTATAGTAAGTTAACTGTGAATTTGTTGGTACAGTACATTATCACATTGGAATCATTCACAAACCTGAACAGTTCGGTTTTGGGAGAGTTACCCGTAGTCACTAACCATTATTCCAGGCTTCGGTCGCAATGGCTTCGGTCGTGATCAAATTGATCCAGATTAGTCGCATAACATATTCCCATTCCAACAAGTTATGTGTCAACATCATCTGGTTGGTGGTTTTAACATGTTTTAACCATCTTGAAACATATGAGTTTGTCAATGGGAAGGATTATCCCATATATTATGGGACAACAAAAAATGTTCCAAACCACCAACCAGATATCATGTTTGTCAGTCAAGTCATGTTCAGACTTCCATTTCTGTTGATTTATAAAAGTCATGCCGATTCTGTGATTGGGAAACAAAACCCGAACATGTTGGTGGAGCATAGCGCATCTAGCATAGTTTCTCTGCTGAACATTGAAATGACTTCATGGCTCAATCAACCCCAAGTTCGGTTCACACCCTCAGGTGCTGGCTGTTCTGCGTCTTCGTACGCACTTGCGCGAAGAATTCCAACAGCCTGACTGGAGAGGGGTGGAGGGGTGGAGCAATCAGTACACTGATTTGGGGGCAATAACCAACAAGAAGCAGCATGAAAACAGGAGAAGTCTGGACAATTTAGATATTATCTCGGAAAATCTATGAACGCACTGTAATATGTACTTCTTAAGTCGATAAGTCAGAATTGGTATTTTACTAATATCATATAGCCTGACAGACGTTTCAAATGTTCTCAGTTCTTTCCAACAATAAAAACACATTGGCAGGAACGGTGGACACAGCCGGCGCGCCTCTGATTGTCTCAATCGTGAGATGGACAATCAAATGGTTTTGTTTGTTGAAGCCCATATTCAGTGGGTAAAATCATGTCAAATATCACAAATATCATTATCTACTGTAGTGGGGTGGACAATTGGTTGGCTAAATATGGCCCCATTCGACAAGATCAATCAAAATCGTAGTGGGTAACTACAGTATTTGTTTTGTTGGTTGCATACCCTCTGGAAATTTAACATAGCTATTGAAAATGGCCATTTATAGTGAGTTTTCCCATTGAAAATGGTGATTTTCCATAGTTTTCTGTATGTTTACCAGAGGGTATCCACTTTAGTGGCTAAAAATTGTGTCAAAGCCCCAGACTTTAAGCGCCCAGTTCTGACATCTTCAGTCTGACAGGCACTTTCCACCGCAGTGCAATCTCCAGGCATCCCCGCTTCGTCTCACCCGGTTGGCTCACGCACTTGCCACTGGCCTGGTGGGTCAGATCGATCAAGGCGGAAAGCCGAAACACATAGTGGTTAATAATGGTTAATAGTGGTTAATAATGGTTAATAATGGTCAGATCCCCTTTTTTCCGGAAGAATCAGACCACACCAGACCCTATAGTGGTTCCTAATGGTTCATGGTGGTTTAATAGTGGTTTAATAGTGGTGGATTACCCTCTGGTAATTTGTTACATACTATTGTTTGACCCTATCATTTCCCCCATTTGCCGTTTGGGAGTAAAAATCCAAAGGTGGAAATGGCAGAAATGGCACAAAGGGTAAAAACTGTCACGGTGCCTCCAGCATCAGTGGAGGATGACCCTCCAAAACACATCGAATGTCTCGTACCTGGCAAGTCACTGTCACCAGGGAAAGCCATGATGATGATATAATGGGGATGATGGGACAATAATGGTTGGATGATTGGATATATTATATTAAATCATCATTTAGAATGGATGATCATCAGCCAATCATGGGGATATGAGGATGATATACTGGATGGTGGTATACCTACCCCTCTGAAAAATATGAAAGTCAATTGGGATCATTATTCCCGATATATGGAAAAAATAAAAGCCATCTTCCAAACCACCAACCAGTATATCATTGAACAACAAGAGATGGCTCAACGGCGCCGGCAAATGTCAGCAACGTTACGAAGTCCGTGGGCCATTTCAAGGATGATTCCGCTGTTCCCAAGCAGAAGAAGGGAGTGACTTACCTAGAGAATCTTGAGATGAGAAATTGGATATACCCTCTGGTAAATAAACAGTTGGACCCTGAAAATCACCATTTTTTAATGGAAACTAGTCTTCCAACCCCTATCTGCCAGGGTCTATGTTAATTTACCAGAGGGTATTTCTTATGCCTTCTTTCTGTTTTTTTGTTTTTTTTTGGATGTCACAATAGTCTGGACATTGTTGGATGTTGATGATGTTGATTGACACGGATCCATTAAGAAGTAGCTTGCAGTGTATAGCCAGTCAATCTATTCTGTTCAAACCTTGATCGTCATCCCACGTTTGCATGTCCCAGGCGGCTGGAAAACAAAGAAAATTATGGAAACAACCAATATCAACCAATCAGCATCAATCTAGAATAATCTAGATCATATCCACATTATTCCACATTCATATTGTTCATGTCATTGTAATTCTCAGATATACGTTAACCGTTACCCTGTTTAACTGTTGTTTCCCTGATCAAGTCTTCAACCAGACTTTGTTTGCAGCAAGGAAACCCAGGATTTTTGGCTGGCCTCAATCTTTAAAATGACATAAGAAGGCCTATGTGTCATATGTTCTTTGCTCATTTTGCCCTTAGGTCTTGATGCATGAAAAACAGCCTGTCTTGATACATTCCACATTCTACTGGATTGACCAAAGCATATGGATGTAGGTATTTCGCATTGCAGAACTGCCATCCCAACTATGACATCTATGACATCTATGACCAATAGCTAGCAGCCACGGGGCACGGTGATTCCAATGTTCATATCCTTCGGGTCCAACTTGCTTTTCCTGCCGCTGCAAGCCAGCTGAGGTTACCTCCCGTTTTAGCACATGGTTTCCAGAAATGGGGGATCCCCAATGGTTGGTTTACAATAGAACATCCTATTAAAATGGATGATTTAGGGGTAACCAAATTTTCGAAACCTCCACATACACACTGTATGAAATGGTATGAACAGAAATGACGGTATGACTATGCTTTACAGCATTTTTGAGCATGTCTGCAAGCGAAGCTCAACACTTGTGTCAGCAAAAATATGTCTAGTGCATTGTGCATCACATGCAAACCAGGCCACTTGTGAACAAGTGCGACATGCGAAAGTGCATGGGTCGGAATGAGCAAGTTTGCTCATTTCAACAAGTAACTGCGTCTAAACATCTTTTACGAAGTGGCTACAACTACACAATTGACCTAATATATCTTGACCCATAATTTGCCATAATTTCATATTGTTTGACCCACATTTCATTGACTAATAAATGAACGGACCCATTTCATTTCACACACTCCGTTCACCAGCCACACGCTGTTTCTGGGTCCTCACAATTTCATTGCTTCAAATCCATAAATCCCGTCATAATTCTTCCTAAAAAGGAACCATTCCAGTTGCAAGAATCTCAACTTTATGCTTCTCTTAAATAATATATACATGTATAATACATATATAATACATATATAATACATATATAATACATATATAATACATATATAATACATATATAATACATATATAATACATATATAATACATATATAATATAATATATAATATATATATATAATATAATATAATATAATATAATATATATATATATGTTTATTTATATCTATATCTAAAGAATGTAAGATACTTCATCACTTCCATCATCTTCGAAGAAAACATGGCATGTCGAAGATGATTTCCCAGCCTGGCGTGCTTGTCGGCTCGCTTGAACTCCATGATCCTCTCATGCCTTGGACACCCGACAGCAATTCAAGGTGACTAAGCGCAACTAAGCATTTCCTGAAATGTAGAAATCGCACTGGGTGAACCGATGTTATACAAGTTATATAATGGTGAATGGCTGATGTCTTTGAGTGGCTGTTTTAAGTGTTGATCACTTGCATTCGTTAATTTGAGTCAATGGATGTTTCAGCGAACAGAGCACACCACAACATCTAGGCACAACATCTTTGAGATGAGAGCAAAATCCAGCCATGGAATTGTGTCCTAGTGACCTAGTGTTGAATGGTTGCTGATGGCTCCTTTAAGTGTTACTTGGTATGTTTTTTTTTGTGTGCGGGATGTGGTTTCTACTGTCTCACTGCAGGTTCGCCCTTTGCTTCATTATTCTTGATCTTCTCTCTTCTCATTCACTGACATCATTAGACTGTAGACCACATCACAACATCCTCACATGACATCCTTGCATCATCACACCATAAGCACATCACAGTAAAACAATGTCGTCAGCACATCACCATCATACCCTCCGCACCATGACACCTTAGTCAAATTCTCGCAACATGACAACATTCTCAAATCACATCCAAAGCCTGACAACAGCCTTGCGCTTAGCACATGATCAACACCATTATCACCGAATCATCATCTTTTCTGAACAATCTTACCTGGAGACTCGCTTCAGTGAAGCCAGGGAACCCAGAGCCAGCTCAATTATCATTTTGTTTTTAATCAATTATTGTAATCATTGTTTTCCAAGGAGGGCTTTACAGTGTCCACATTTTTTGACTGCTTATCCGATCGCAGAGATGTCTTGGCCACGCTGCTGAGATGGCAAAAAATGTGTTTTCCTCGTGTATTCTGTCCCCCAGTGAAGGCCATCAAAGACGTTGTGAACAACTGATGTTTCACTCAATCAGACCACTTTTCCCATGATTGGACACTGATTGTGATCTGGTTACATCATGTTACATCCATATTAAGTAATTCATGCAACCTATGTCCGACACATTTAGTCCTACTCTTTGGTCGGATTTTGATCTGGTTCCATCCTTTCTGGGGTCACTGAGGTCTCCGGACGTGGGATGGAAGGCTACCATGAGGTTGATATCCTCTTGAGGACCTCGGGTGACTTCGATACGGCGGATACGAAGTCAAAGCTGGCCTGCTTCTGGAACATGCTGGTTTCATGTGCAGCTTCAATGGAAAATGGGTTAATCATGTTACCCTCTGGTTATGACTAACAGTTCGCCATGGAAAATCACCATATCACCATAGAAATAGATGGTTTACCTATTAATAGCATGGTGATTCTCCATGGCAAACTCTTAGTCATAACCAGAGGGAAAGATGAATTTAACGATCCATAACCATCCCGAAATGGGGATCTCATGTAGAGATGGACAGATATCACTCGTGATGTGGCGCCAGACATGGAGCTTGTCCCTTTTCCCATGCCTCAATCATTTGACCTGGTCAAAAACCAGACGAATTTCAAGTAAAACGAACGATTTTCAGCTATAGCCATCTGGTTTGCGGCTGGGAATGCCACAGAAACAGAGGAAAACCAACTCGCCTGTCCCGCCCTTATCAATCACTGCCGAAAAAGTGATGAACAGGCACAAGTAAACACACCCATGTTTGGGTACCCCGCATTGATGCACATCTATATCAGAAACCAACTATAAGTAATTAGTTTCCAGAATGCTGAAAAAGACTAACATAATTATATTAACTCTACTATTGAGCCAATCATTGGCGAACCATGGCCAAACCACCAACCTATCAGCCTGCAGCCAGCCACTCCTTGGTCCCGAACGGACAAAGCCCTCCGAAGGTGTCACAGAGAAGATCTTGCCGTACTTCGAGCCAATCTGCGTGCAGGGAACTGGGTCAGGACAGGATGCTGGTGATAGATACCCTCTGGTAAACATACAAAAAACGATAGAAAATCACCATCTTTCATAGGTAAAAACCAACTATACTAACTATACATAGGCAATTTTCAATAGCTATGTCTCCTGTGTCTGATGATAAGAGTTTCCACTTTCTTGTCGTCCAGGCAGCCTGTGATTTCCCATGGTTAAAACCCCATTGCAATCCCATCCCCCAGTATGAACTACCAGCCGCCCAACATGAACAAATCCAAACAAAACCAAACAAAACCAGGGTTCCTAGATTCAGATGGGTTTGTCTGAAAATGTTGTGTGCCTAAACCCAATGGTTAATGATCAGTTTCCCTAATAAATGGCTTTTTTCTTGGGGGTACCCTATTTTCAGACACAGCCAGATAGATGTTCCTAGAGATGTTCCTTGATCTAGAAATTCCTTGATCTTGATGTTGATTGTACATCGGTTTCCCCGGGGTTTTCTCAAACTGATCCCAGTTGTCACCATGGCCACGACTCGCCTCAAAGCGGAATTTCGCTCCCAGGTCCCCAAAGTTGTGCAGGCGCACCGGCTTCGTCGCCTGTCGAAGCTGCCTATAGGTGCGTTAGAAAAAATGCTTCTATAACTTGGATTTGCTAATTCGGGGTCAAACAACAACGAAATCACTATAGATTCCCCAGTCATGGTGGATTTTGCATTGGGAAAACAACAAAGTACCTTAAACCCAGGGTAAGGGTGCCTATATGTTAGGTTGATGGGCGGGAAGAAAGCAACATAATAACTATAGGCACAAACGACTAGTATCACGAAGTAATATCTTTGATATGTACCACGGTCAAGTCGGGTTTCATGTGGTCATCTCATAATATAAAAATCCTTAGGGGATGGATGACCATCTCCTAACTCCGCAACTTTCCTCAGAAAATTGGCCAAATGTTGGCACAGAGACAGGGATGGATGAGAATTCAAGGAAAAATGCTGAGAACCCGGTGATTTTCTGCTCATTCTTTGGTCATTGATTGCAGACGACACTGGGTATCTCTAGAGGTTCCCACCTGTGAGCCCACCACCACATCTCCGAAGAAGACGGAATGCCTCGACGCAGGGATGAGATGGGTTTCTGATAATGTTGTGTGTACCCCGAGTCCCATGGTTTAGTGTATCACTTTCCCCCCAAAAAAGTGCCAAACGCCAAGGGGGGGTATTACACCATTGACAATTTGTCAGATTGCCTATCTTGGGGGGTGTTTTCTTTCGCCGTCAGGACAGATCTTGACTTTTGTGGGTTTCCCTAAAAAATGAATATCAGTTTCTACATAACACAAAGCTATACCAACCAGCATGGATGTGGAAAACCCACCATAAAAATCTATCATGTTCCTACGCTTCTACCTATGTTTTGTGATTCACATCTTTCTGCTAGTTTACCCTATGGTTAATATGTCAATATTACTATTACATATTATATTATTACTATATATAATCTTTATTGTCAAATATCATGATTTTTATTGACAATTAATTTGTTATAATAATGCTTAACAATTCACTAATGGTTAGTCATTATTATCCATTATTAACCATCATTAACTAGTGGTTATATCAATATTCTGGTTGGTGGTTTTAACCATCTTGAAAAAATCTTGTCAATGGGAAGGATTACACATATATTATGGAAAATAAAAAAAACTGAAACCATCAACCAGATATAATACCATGACCATATTATATATTTGGGTTTGCCATGGTAACCAATTGTGCTTTTGATAGTAACGATCATTAACTAGTGGTTAACTGGTTAACAATTATCCATATTTACCCTCTGGTAAACGTTTACAGAACTATGGAAAATCACATTTTTTCATGGGTAAATCAACTATAAATGGCAATTTTCAATAGCTGTTTTGACATAACCAGGGGGTAAGTAACCATTTAACATATTAACTAACCATTACTAACCATCATCAACCATCATTAACTACCCATGATATCCATATTTAACTAACCATTTTCCGGCACCATCAACCATCATCAACCGCTACGCGGTAACGACGTAGAAACCGCCGTCCAGACCGTCCAGAGGCCCAGACTCACTGAGCCGCATCTCAATGGCATGGCACGTGCCGGTCATATGCAGCAAGCGCACCTGAAAAACCGCGCTGTCCATCACTGGTTCATCTATAAATGTGCTTTATAAAGCCCTACGGAAAACTATAGTTATAGGATGTTATAGGTACCATAAAGGAACACCAGAAGTTTTCTTACACATGAAAACTGGCTGGTTATCCTGAAATTTGGATAGAAATTCGTAGAAACCCTACGGAAATAGTGATAGTTCACTGTTCTATCTCTTTTGGAGATGACAAGTCGATCAAGCTGGATGAATTCTACTTCACCAACCTGTTATCTAGTCGTCCACCTTTTGGGGAGCATCACGAGCGAAGGACCCAGGGGAGGTTGGCTTGTGAACTTCATGGAATCCATGAGGACCGAAGTTCCTATAGGCTGGTCTTTCAACCCCATTCACTACCTGATCCTATGCACATATCATAAACATTCAGAAACCATACTATTTGGGGTTTCCATATCTATAAATGTGGTTTATAAATCCCATGAAAACTATAGTCATAGGTACCACAAACCATAGTTACTGGAGTTATAAAACCAACTTCAGTATCTAGATCTATCTAGGGGGTTCCACTTTGTGGGTTTAGTCCTTCATCTTCACCGTCTTCACTTTCCTCTGTGGTGAAGTCCATTGTCGGGTGGAGTTTTTTCGCCAGGGAAGCAAACATGTGGTGACATAATGAAAAGTCAATGTATCATAATCTAGTTGAATGGTTTATCTGTCTAAATGGTCATTGAATGGTTTATCTATCTAAATGGTTTATCTATCTAAATGGTTTATCTATCTAAAGACATGTTGAATGGTTTATTTATCTAAATGGTTATTGAATGGGACTTCACCAGGGAAAATGATGATTTAATCTGGTTGGTGGTGCAATAACCATCTTGAAAAATATGAATGTCAATGGGAAAGGATTATTCATTATTCTACGTACATGAATCCTCATGAAGCTGTGAACTATGTTCGTGGGTAAATGTTCAATACTTTATACCACCTACCCTGGCGTAAACTGACAGAAAAATGTGGAAAACCCATGGGGAAAACCCATGGGAAAATGATCTACCAGATTACCAGTATGGTGAGTTTTCCTCGCCAAAACCTGATGGCTGATCATCGTGTCCTCATATTGAACATGACATTTTGTTATGGACTGGCGAAGCGTTTTCTCCAACACATCCAACTGCTCTTGGGTTGCTCGATCGGGAAAAAAATGAGCGATAGGACTGCAACCATGTAAGTACTGCAACCTGGCAGGAAAAGTTATATATGACTAATACTGCAAACATGACCAAACATGGTCAAACGTGATCAAACATGATCAAACGATGTCAAACCTGGTTGAAACATGCTGAAACACGTTGAAAAATGCTGGACAAATCAGAACAGTGGATGACAATGGATGACAGCAAAGGCTAAAAAGCATTGACAAATGATATGAACACAACACAAATATGGCTAACTAATCTATTTTGTTCATTAAATAATTAATTAACTAATTAATTTATTAATTAATTAATTCAGGAAATATGATTTAATTAGTAAATTAATTAATTAATTAACAAATTAGTTTATCAATTAAATAATGAATAAAATAGTTCATTAATTAATTAATTAATTAAAAAAAAACAAACATACACTACTTAATTAATTAATTAATTAATTAATCTACCAATCAATTAATTATTCATATGTTAATTAATTAGTTACTTAATTATTTGATTGATTAATTCATTCATTGATTAATTAATTCATTCATTAATTAACAAATGAAGTCATTAATGAATACATTAATCAATTAATTAATTGGTTTTTTGATTGGTTCATCAATTAATTCACTAATTAATTCATAAAACCATTAATCAATTCATTAGGTAATTAATTATTTAGTTAGTTGATTGATTAATTGAATAATTAAGCAATGTTTCCATTGATTAATTAGTTCATTGATTAACTGATAATTTGATTAATTAATTGCTCCATCAACAACTAATTAATTGATTATTTATTAATTAAGTAATTAATTAATCAATCAATCAATTAAAATGATTAATTGACCAACTAAATAATAAACCAATTAATTAATTAATCAGTTACTTAAGTAATCAATTAATTGATTAATTAATAAATCATTCAATTAATTGATAAAATGGTTCATTAACTGATCCATTGGTTCATTAATTAACTGATTGATTAATTGATGAATTAATTCATTCATTAATTAATTATTGAATTAACTCATCAATTGATTAATTAGTTATTTATTTAATCAACTTATTTATTTATTAATTAATTAATCAATTAATAAATTAATTAGCTAAAAAAGTATTTAATCAATTAATTAATCAATTAAATAGGTAATTAATCAATTAATCAGTTGTTTATTTAATTAACTAAATAGGTATGGAATCAATTAATTAATCAAACAATTAATTAATTAACAAAAAAGTATTTAATCAATTAATTAATCAATGAATTCATGAATCAACTAATTAATACAACATATCAACATTATTATACAAATACACATGTCATCAAATGTCCTCAAATGTCCTCAAATGATCCCATATCATCATATGGGTTTCACAAACCCCACCATGTTCCTCACGATGACGTTGGCGAGGCGGACCTTGAAATTGCTCAGGTCGCCGTATGGCCCAAACTGTGGTAAGTAGCGCAGGTGAACCGAGCTGGACAAAAAGATGAACAATGAGCACGGGGGTGCGCAAGTCACCAGTCCATCGTCATAAAGCGCCATGCCAAGCGCAAGGAGCAGCATAACACCACGCTTCATCGTGATGTCATGCTGCGGGTCCAGCTTGATGTCAAAAGCCGAGGAAGTCGTCGATCCCATGATCTTCTGCATACCGCAATGGAAGGAAAAAACATCAAGGCTTTTGAGCCAAGGCTTTCCTTGCCATGTGCGACAGTATGAATGCAAATCCTCAAGGTGCTTATGGGCATTGTACCACCCAATTGGTTTCCTGTTGTGCTTCTCAAGAAGGGCAGCACAAGATGAGGATTTGCAGGCAACCATCTGAATACAAATGCACTACTAGGACCATGCTGCCAGTTTGCATACTAAGTCACTACCCAATTGGATATATTAATTAATAGTGGTTATAATACCAATAATAGTGGTTATATATGGTTATATGATGGGATATATATCTATATTCTGGTTGGTGGTATACCTACCCCTCTGAAAAATGATGGAGTTCATCAGTTGGGACGATGAAATTCCCAATTAATATGGAAAAGTCATAAAATTCCATGGTTCCAAACCAGCAACCAGTTGTTCAAACCATCTATTGATATACCATCTATCATCCCATTCATCAACCAACCAATGGGAAAAGGACATCTATGATTCCCATCGCTTAGTATAATTATATGAGATAAATCAATCAGTTAGACTCACCGGATCATATAGGCATCAACGGTTTGTGTTTCTGCCCAAAAATCCATTGGGGTTCCCTGCAGATGTCCCCAAAAATAAAAGTTAAAGAAACCATGCTTTACTTCGAGTTATCCCCACCATGACATTTATACGCTTTGTTACTGGCAATTTTTTTGGCATTCTATCTGACACATCTTCTGGCATTCTATCTGGCAAACATTCTGGCACTTTATCTGGCATACCTTCTGGCATTCTATCTGACATTCTATCTGGCATACCTTCTGGCATTCTCTCTGGCATATCTTCTGGCATTCTATCTGGCATATCTTCTGGCATTTTATCTGGTATATCTTCTGGCATTCTTTCTGACGTTCTATCTGGCGTTCTATCTGGCATATCTTCTGGCATTCTATCTGGCCGTTGAGGTCCAGCGGTGCCCACTGAGCTCGGAAGGTCCCAGGTTGAGGTCCAGCGGTGCCCACTGAGCTCTGAAGGTCCCAGGTTGAGGTCCAGCGGTGCCCACTGGGCTCGGAAGCCGGCAGTTGAGGTCCAGCGGTGCCCATTGTGCTCAGAACCTGGCGGTTGAGGTCCAGCGCTGCCCACTGCGCTCAGAACCTGGCGGTTGAGGTCCAGCCGTGCCCACTCAGATCGGAAGCCGGCAGTTGAGGTCCAGCAGTGCCCACTGCGCGCGGAAGTTGGCGGAGAGATTGGCGACGAGTTGGCAAGGCGGAAGTGGACGTGGAAGTTGATGCAGACATGGAGGAGGAGGCGGAGGAGGAGAATGAGGATGAGGAGAACAGCTCTGATAAAATCTAACAACCCTCACCTGGCAGGTGGGGAAAAAAGGTGATAAAGCCATTCAACGATAGATCCAGGTGTTTCAATTCGATATATACTTAACACACAACAAATCCAGGTTCTCCAACGAATTTAGGAGATCGTGAACCAGCATAGAGGTGGAAAATCCATGAAAATCCACCGTTTGTAGACTGTCTTCCTCATGGATTTTCCACATCTTGCTGTTAGTTTACCCTAGGGTAACCACCACACCATGCTGAGGTCTCTTCATGTGGACCCTCCTACCTCCACACCATGCTCGCACTTGGCAAGGAGAGGCAAACGGAAGGGGGCAATACGGTACCTGCCGTTGGACACAGCATAAGCTGCAGCCAACGTGAGGGCTCAACAAGCATGTTGCTGAAACCAACATAACTAATTTGGGAAACGCGAGAATAAAGCTACCATTTGAGGATGGTTATACCACCTATTTATGATTTTGGGGAATTATCGGGTTTACCACATTAGTGACTTCACCACTAAGATTCTTGGATGTATAAATCAAAAATTCAAGACTCCCGCTCCACACGTGTTAGTTCACTATTTGCAGTAAACCATTCCATTTTGGGGTACCAAAATTTGACCCGTACCCAGCACCCAAACATGACATGAATAGGCTGTGGAAGAGTATGGTCAGGGGTACCTGGAAAGTGCTTGGCAGTACGTGAAGGATTGAACAGAAAGAAAGGAACGCCTTTCACGGATGTCAACAATGACACAGTGTTGATACTAGGTAATGCAGGTGAAGGCTCTGTTTGAGCAAGTTTCCACATCATATTGTGTCAGACTAGTCCGACTTTAGCTTCTGTCTTCATTGCCAGCCCCTGTCAACATGCTTTCATGAAAGACCATGCATACAGCAGGCTCAAATGCTTGCAATGAAGCCACGTCAAGCAACTTCAAGGTCATAAGGTGTCTCAGGAACAAACATATATCACCCAGCTCATCAGTTGTTTGTGGTGTTGGTGCTAGGTGGAGGCTCTGCTTGAGCATGTGCTAGTTTCCACATCACTTTGTGTCAGACTAGTCCGACTTTAGCTTCTGTCTTCATTGCCAGCCCCTGTCGACATGCTTACATGAACGACGATGCACACAACATGCTCAAATGCTTGCAATCAAGCCAGGTCAAGCAATCAGAAGGTGTCTCAGGAACAAAGATATATCACCAAGCTCATCACTTGGTTTGAGTGGTCATTTTGGAGCTCCTGACATGGTATTGGTGCTAGGTGGAGGCTCTGTTTGAGCATGTGCTAGTTACCGCATCATATTGTGTCAGACTAGTCCGACTTTAGCTTCTGTCTTCATTGCCAGCCCCTGTCAACATGCTTTCATGAAAGACCATGCATACAGCAGGCTCAAATGCTTGCAATGAAGCCACGTCAAGCAACTTCAAGGTCATAAAGTGTCTCAGGAACAAACATATATCACCCAGCTCATCGGTTGTTTGTGGTGTTGGTGCTAGGTGGAGGCTCTGCTTGAGCATGTGCTAGTTTCCACATCACTTTGTGTCAGACTAGTCCGACTTTAGCTTCTGTCTTCATTGCCAGCCCCTGTCGACATGCTTACATGAACGACGATGCACACAACATGCTCAAATGCTTGCAATCAAGCCAGGTCAAGCAATCAGAAGGTGTCTCAGGAACAAAGATATATCACCAAGCTCATCACTTGGTTTAAGTGATAATTTTGGAGCTCCTGACATGGTATTAGTGCTAGGTGGAGGTGCTGTTTGAGCATGTGCTTCTTTCAACATCATTTTGTATTCATTCAACGTTTTAAAATGTGGCGACACAAATCAGCTTAAAATGTGACGACACATCCACTGTAGCAGGTTCCATGTTTAACCTGATCCACTTGAGACCACACCCATCCATTCCCCCGTGCCGCACGTGGGGTTGAACCGCAGTTCGATCTCCACCGTTTGACGTGGCCGTAGCGTGCAGGGATGTGCTGGAGTCCTGAGAGGGCGCATCATCGTCATCAAAAAAACCTGCGTTTACAATAGGAAAATGGAGGTTTTAATAGGAAAACCAAAGGAAAATGTAGGTTTTAATGGGAAAACCATAGGAAAATGGAGGTTTTAATGGGAAAACGGGAAAACCATAGGAAAACCATAGGAAAATGGAGGTTTACCCTCTGGTTATTTAACATAGCTATGAAAAATGGTCCATAGAAATAAATGATTTTTGATGGTTTCCCTATTAAAAATGTTGATTCTCCATAGCTACGTTAAATAACCAGAGCATAGGGTAGGTCTAATGATGTCTAATGGGATATTCATTAGCATATTGGTTGAATATTCATGGAATACTGTAGAGCATGGCCCATCTATATACATGATTTATCATGATCTACTGAACTTAAATTAAACATGGTGATGTTCCAGTTCGCCATATTATTATTAGTGTTCAATTGCCGATCGACTTGAAGGACATGGCAATGGCTTTGTAAATGTGTCCAATGGCTGGAAAGCCTCCATCCAATAGCATGGGATCCATGGCCTTGATTTCAATGGCTGGTTGGTGACCTACCCCTGAGAAACACATGACTTCGTCAGTTGGGATGATGAAATTCACAATGTATGGAAACAAGAAAAAAACATGTTCCAAACCACCAGTTTATCCCAGTTTACTTTGCGCGCCACGTTCGATGAAACGTGACCCGACTTGTGGGGTCTAGAGACCGATGGTGGTCAGAGGAACCAAAGGGAAACTACCATGTGCAGATGCATACGGCAGGCTCTCCAACGCCTTTGACTGGCGACGGTAGGTGCAACCGGTGCCACATTGAAGAAACCAATCATCCACCAGTGAAAGCCGTGCAGCCGGCCATGGCAAGGCAATGATCCCTGTGTGAAACAAAATCATCTGTGACCAAGGCTTACCATAGTCCATCTGAAGCTTCACGTCCAAGTGACGCAGGGTTTCTTTGAGCACCTTGATGAACCAACGTGTGCGCTGCTTGAAGGAAAAACCCGCCAAACTCAGCCAGGAAACACTTTTTCCATCCACCCATCGACCAACATGCACCGGCCCGGGGTGACCGGTGGACAGCATGAAGTCAGTGTAAAGCTGGAAATGTGAGACCCACACAACAGGTGCAGCACAGTCAGTCAAAGTGTGCCAAAACCAACTAGCTAGCAATCGAACCATGGAGTCACCATACCACCGAGTGGCAGCAGCAGGGATAGACACCGCAGGAAGCTGTCGCCACGGCCGAAAAGGCACTGAAGGCTCCTGAGGCACACTTGGGAGTTCAGATAAACAGGTGACTTCTTGACGGACTACTTCCTGGCTAATCCGCAATAACACCCGTTGGACTGTACGGTTGAAGAACTCAATGCTGGCGGCTGCCTGGCTATGTCGCCTTTGCAAATCCCAAAATTCCTCACCCCGCTGGAAATTAGCTCGCACAGCCTGCTTATCGGCTAAGCCGTTATGGCGAAAGCACCACTCAGCGAAAAAGGATGGAGCCTCATCAGGGCACTGATGTGCCGCAACCCTGGTGATGACGACCTTATGCCGACGTCCATCCAAAGCCTCTTCAATGCGATGCCATAAATCTGCATGAGCGCTGTTCACTCGGACATGTGATCCAGAAATGAGCCGTCGCAACCTTTTCACAACTGCTTCACAGTCTGTCCACAAAAAAACCCAACCATCATGGTCAGCAGTAATTTGCAGAGCTATCATGATCGCAAAAATTTCCGCCCGCACTGAGCTCTGTAACAGTCCTGGCAGAGGGCCAGAAGCCATGATACGGCTGCCAGAGTAATCAGTCACTCCTTCACAAGATGCTTGTATCACAGCCCAAGCAGCAAAACGTAGCTGAACATCATGCTGTGCAAAACAACTACCATCAGTGAATAAGTGAACCGCACCTTGAAAGGTCGCACGAGGGACTGACGGAGACGGCAATTGGGCAAAGTATTGATTCCATTCCAAAGCAGTAGTTGGTTGAAGCGACCAACCCGAGGTGGTCAAGGATTCAGGAAATTCACTAATACACTTCAACGTGACAGGGCATATATGGGACCTAAAACAATCAAAGTGAGGGCACTCCCAGAATCGATGATATCGGCTGTCACTGCATGGGCAAAATGGACACAGGTCCGAGGCGGAGTCATCACAATAGGCCTTGCCGTCCTGTGTCACATGGGATCCATTCAACAGTTTACGAAACAAGGCTTGGTCAGAGACCGCAAGGGAACTTACCCATTTCTTGGTGTCGCAGGCATCAGCATTTTCGAGTCCAGTGAAACATGGTCTGTGATCTGTATGAGCGGCAACAACTCGGGGCCATTGCAAAGTGACTCTGTAGTGAATCTCAGCAGCTGAGATGGAAAACGGGGAAAAACTACCCAACAAATCACAAACCTAGCCTCTGGAATCAACATGCCATCCTAACAACTGCAACCGGGTGCTCAGGGTGTGAGTGATACGTTCTGTGGAATAATGGAAACTCCAGAGGCAATCTCAGCCAAAACACTCTCCACATTATCCTTGGCACCGCAGTCCCGTGTGAGACGGATGGTTTGCAATATTGCCCACCCCAAGGGATTAACATCTACCGCTTCGATCAAACCCAAATGGACCATAGGGTTAGCTCCAGCAGCATCAGCACGAATGCCTTTCATCGCACCGGATCGAAGGCTCTTGAAAGTAGAAAAACTCAAAGAGGCAGCCGCAACTCCGTGCAAACCCTTAGGCCATGCCGAGCACTTGAGCGCACGGATTTTCTGTGCATACCCACAGGCAGACAAACGCAGACGAGACCACAATGGCGTGACACTGTGCACACGAGCCATTAACGTGGAGTTGGTATGTTGCTTACTGATCTGGACATGGGCACCCAAGTTACGTCCATGATGGACAATACCAAGACCCTGACGGCGAAGGGACTGGCGCCCCTCACTACAAACAGACCAAGTATGAGTTTTCTTCTGATCAAGCAAGAGATCCATCACCTGGGTGAAACGTTCCAGGCATTCAAAGGTCTGCTGCATCATGTCTGGACATGTCAACAGGACTTGCCAGTCATCAACATAGGAGAGCGGTTGGCACATAGGAAAAAAGTGCACCATCCACGCATGGAAAAGCATGTCAACCACAATCATTCCAACACAGGACAACGCACATCCTTTGGGAAGGCCACAATTGCTCATCGCAGGATCACTAAGGCTACCACAAATCTGAAACCTACGGGCCATGCCGGACAAAGCCCCCGCCCATCCACGCAGAACATTGAAGGGGATGCCAATCAAGGCACAAGCTTCAAAAACCACTGCCCGCGGCAGGAAATTAAAAGCTTTTTGAATGTCAACCACAATTCCGCACAAGGGGATATTACAGGCATATGCTTGCTCAATGGACCAAAGAACATGGGACCAAAGCTGACCTGCAAAATGACGTGGTCTGCTACCATAAAGGCCAAGGGGAAGAACCCTGTCCAATGCACGAATGATGTGTCGTGCGTGGAACGTACCCCAGCACCGATACAACAAGCCCAACACAGTGATAGGACGAAAGTCCAGGACCTTTTCCGGGTTGGGTGTTTTGGCAAGGCAGGACACACGGCCCGCAACAACTTGTGAGGGCCAAGCACCGGAATGTTCCGCTTGCGCAAACATGCTGGCAAAATTCTGCAGGGCTTCCTTTGGCATAGCTTTCAAATCTTGCAAAGAAACACCATCCAGCCCCCCAGTCGTCGAGGGATTCTTATGGGCGACAATGGCAGCCAAGGCAGGAGCATCCAGGGGTGGGAGGCTAATGTTCTGTGACGGCAAAACCCGCCTGGCAAAATCCAAAATTGCATGCCAGCGATCAGCAGGCACATCCCTGTGTCGCTCCCACATGTTCTTCCACGTGTTCAGGAACTCACGTGATAAAGCAGCATGGGTGCCGATTTGTGACATCTGAGTGACTGGGCTACCTATGGCAACATTGGAAACATCCTCAAGCCAAAGACAATCGTGCTCAGCGTGAACAACCTGCAGGGGTTGGCCATGACAAAAGATGGGGACATCAGGTTGAAACTGCACAGCACGATCAAGCACAATTGACTGGTCGTCAGGACGAATCTCAACAACTTGGGCCGGAACCCGGCGCAGCAAAATTTCAACTCCATGGGTCTTGAAGTCACGCAGGTCATGAAAAATTGCATTTGGGTTCGAATCCCTTTTGAGGCGCGCGTACAACCTAGAAGAGGTACGCAATTGGCTCTCAAGGTCACGCAGAGCAATTCGCATGGTGTCTAAGAGGCATAGTGCCACATGATGGTCTGGGGGACACAGAGGAAACTCATTGGGCGCACCAAAAGTACGCACAGCATGGGACCGCCACCAACAAGAAAAATTGGGTGAAAACCCACTGGCACGGACAATGGATCCCCAAACTCGTTTAGCATGCAGGGACTGGCATGAATGATTAAGGATATGACGTATGTACGCCTGCATCCTTCTTGCCTGACGCAACCATTGGGCATGTCTGAACGAGGCACCAACAAAGTGAGGTTTGATATCCGCCTGACCCCCAATTTTTTGGGGGGAAACTTTGCCATCAGTTGCCTTGACCGTAGCCTTCGTACGCGCCCTGCCAAAAGCATTCTGGGGCACCAGGAAGGGCATGGCTGCTTGTGCCTGTTGCTCAATATGCTGCCACAAGGCGTGGTACTTGACATCACAAGAATCAGCAGCAGAATCCCAAAAGGAAGGGTCGACTTGCCATGTTTGAGGCCAGGGAAAAGGTTGAGGCGCAGGCCAAACACTTCTGGGGATCGACAGGCCAAGGGAGTGAAACTCACCCCAAATCACTGCATGGTCCGGGAAAACGTCTTGCTCAACATGAACAGCTTTCAGGAGATGTTGGAGTTCAGGTGAAACAAAACAGTAATCCTTACGTGTAGCCTGTTTGCAGGTGTGTTGGATGGGGGAGCCCCACATGCAGTAAGCAAGATCTTG